ACAAAGAGCTTATATAAGTCTATAAAACCCCCAATAACCTGGGAAAAATGAACAAAGAATGTGAACAGATATTTGATAGAAGAAATTCAGATGACCACTAAACATACGAAAGAAAGTTCAACTTCATTAATAGTGAAAGCACACAAAATAATATTTAGATAACCATCATTAATTTTTTTTTGCCTCTCACATTGGTAATATTTGATGTTGGTGAAGGTATTGGTTGGGACTGTAAATTACTCCATTTTTAGAGAGAAATGTGGCAATGTTTGTAAAAACATAAAAAGTGTGAACTCTGAGCAGTGTCACTTCTAGGATCCTATCCAACAAAAATCCAACAGTATTTCAACATTATGTACAACATCAAAACTTTGGAAGCAAAAAAATGATTATCAATAGGGACATGAGACATTCAATCAATGGAATCTTATATAACCGTTATAAGGAGTGGAGTAATTCTATGAGCTCACCCTCGAATGCTATGACATGTTCAGTTGTTTGACATTGTAGAATAATATGTACCTTTGATCTCATTTCTGTAAAAATTAGAATGTATGCACATGTACATATACATGTTTGCACATAAATTTACATCTGCATAGACATTAAAAAGTCTTCAGCAAAGGTGGGGACTGAAATGTCAACAGCAATTTCCTCTGTCTGAAGTGTGGGGTTCTTTCCTTCCTTCTTTTGCTCATTCTTTCATTCAGCAAATTTGTTTAATGCCTACTACATGCTAAGCAGTGTTTTAGGCACTGTGGACACAATAAATAAAATGGACAGAATCCCTATCTTCATGTAGCTTATGCATTCTAAGGTAGGAAGACAGACAATAAAGAAATAAAAATTATAGCATTTCAGATGGTGATATGCGCTTTGAAGATAAACAAAGCAGAGAAGGATGATGGAAAGGCAGTTTGAAATTTTATTTTTTTTAAGGTTATTACTTTATTTATTGGCCCCACAGCATGCAGGATCTTACTTCCTTGACCAGGGATTGAACCCACACCCCCCACAGTGGAAGCATGGAGTCTTAACCATTGGATCACCAGGGAAGTCTCCAGTTTGTAATGTTATTTATTTCTTAAAAAAATTTTATTTATTTGGTGGCACCATCTTAGTTGCAACAGGCAGGATCTTTGGTAGGGGCATATGGGATCTAGTTCCCTGACAGGGGATTGAACCCAAGTCCCCTGCACTGGGAGGATGGAATCTTAGCCACTAGGCCACCAGGGAAGTCCCCCCAGTTTGCAACTTTAAGTAAGGTGGATCAAAAGTGTAGAGGAAACATTTCACATCTCTACATATTTTTTGAAAAAAAAAAAGTGGGATTGAATGTTCTTCTTATTATAAAGATGGTTTTCTGTATATTACAATAAACAGTATGAAAAGAGAAGAAAAAGTTCTAACAGTGGAGTTTCTGACTTGGGAATGTGGCATAACACTTGAGAATAATTTGTTTTTTTCTCCCCCATCTATAAAAAAAAAAAAAAAAAATCACTCCTAAATGTTCATTCCTGACTGCAAAGGATAATCTACAATGTGTGAAATTCTGTTTTGCTTCCTCACTCACTGGATATATTATATAGTAAGTCCTCTACATGTGAACCTCTGAGTTGTGAACTTTCAAAGATGAGAATGTGAAGACCTGATGGAATTGGAGGCCAGGAGAAAGGATGAAGAGAGACAGGATGAAGAAGAACCAAAGAGATTCATGACACAGGAAATGGTAAGAGAATTTTGTTTATTTGAGGAGGCACTTGGTTTTTGAGGCACCAGATCTAAATGTAGAATGGTACACAAAGTTTATAGCAGTCATTCAGAATGCAATCCGGTGCCACCATGTTATCTGTGATGAGAAAAAAAAGGAGCTACTACCCAGATGCTTGCTCCTCAGAAGAAAAGCTACAACAAACCTAGACAGTGTATTAAAAAGCAGAGACATTACTTTGCCGACAAAGGACTGTATGGTCAAAGCTATGGTTTTTCCAGTAGTCATGTACAGATGTGAGAGTTGGACCAAAAAGAAGGTTCAGTACTGAAGAATTGATGCTTTCTAACTGTGGTGTTGGAAGACTCTTGAAAGTCCCTTGGACAGCAGGGAGATCAAACCAGTCAACCCTAAAGGAAATCAACCCTGAATATTCACTGGAAGGACTGATGCTGAAGCTGAAGCTCCAGTATTCTGGCCACCTGATGTGAAGAGCCAACTCATTAGCAAAGGCCCTGATGCTGGGAAAGATTGAAGGTGGGAGGAGAAGGAGACAACAGAGGATGAGATGGTTGGATGGCATCACCAAATCAATGGACATGAGTTTGAGCGAACTGTGGGAGATAGTGAAAGACAGGGAAGCTGCAGTCCATGGGGTCGCAAAAAGCTGGACACAACTGAGTGACTGAACAACAACTATCTAGACATTACTGGATTGTTTTTTCAAGAGAGTAGATAGAATTGAATTCAGCAAGGAACCAGAACCTGTGCCATCAATGTCAGGTGTGAATCAAAATTGCAGCTTGCCCTCTGTCTCCTATTGCTGATGATCCTTTAGCTCTACCATCTCCCACCTCTTCTCTCTCCTCCAGTCAGTAACTCTTCTTGCTAGTTCACTCGATGCCAGCTCCTATATGCCAGCTGTTGTATTGTACTACTGTACTTTTTCAAGGTGCTATGACACTAAAAATGTTTTATTTTTTGTTTGTCTTTTTATGTGCATATTATTTGTGTGAAAAGTATCATAAACCCATTACAATGCTATATTACAGTACTATATAGCTGATTGTGTTAGTTAGGTACCTAGGCTAATTTTGTTGGACTTCAGAACAAATTGGACTTAAGAATGGGCTCTCAGAACTCTTTCATATGTAGGGGACTTACTGTACTGGCATATCAATTGATGTGTCATTTTTGTTATTTCCCCCCAAAGACTTGCTTTGTTAATTATGTTTGCCTACGGGCAGTTAGAAATTAGTTTGCATTTCTGAGTACAAATCTACAGGGAAACCTGATAGAATGCAAATTGCTTATCTGTGTGGCGTAACCTCATTAATCCTATAGTAACCCTTATTTTATTAGCTTTCCCCATGAGAGAGCAAGGGACACAAACTAAGGAATAAAAGCTAAGAATTTTGATAGCAATTAATGTCAGCCAGATGAATTGCAAGTTTTTGGATGGAGGGACCAAATCTATGAATGATTTATTGAACCCCAGTTTTGTGCAAGGACTGTGGTAGATGAACTGGTGAGTTCTCAGAGTCTCTTCCCAATCTGTCCCTTGGCCCCTCTATGAGACTTTTTGGGGGGGGGGGGCTGTACTCAGTCTTCATTGTGGTGCTCTGGCTTTCTCTAATTTCAGTGAGCAGAGGCTATTCTCTAGTTGTGTATAGGGGCTTCTCATTGTGGTGACTTCTCTTGTTGCAGAGCGCTGGGCTCTAGAGTGGGCTTCAGTGGTTGTGAGACTTCTAAGGAGTGTGGAGAAGAAGAGGGGGCCATGATTTGTCATCTACAGAGAGAGAAAAAAAAGGAGTACAGGCAGGACTGCCACAGGAAAGACTTGAAGTTAAACACGAGGAATACATTCTAGATATCCGCTTTGGGATCCACAGGAACACTGGTCTGAGTTCCTCCTTCTGGGATCAGGCCCTGAGTGGTGCTGGGACTAGTTTCTGGGCTTAGCAGGAGCCAGAGGCATCTCCCTCATGAAGCCTGTCAGGAGCTGCTCCAGATGATCCATCTTTCTCGGCAAACACGTAACTTCACTTTTTCGCTCCCTGGTTTTCCTATTTGTCTTGCTGATCATTGAACCCAGGGTAGCCAAGGCAAAGCTGGAAGAAGATAAAAGGAGCCATAGGAACCGCAGACATTCTTTATTCACAGTGGCAAGGCAGACATGCTTTACTCTCTAATGGCTGATTCAGCAGCGACAACTCAACTCTCCCACAAGAGTGTCACAGGTGGTGCTTATATAGGACAGCCAAGCACGCACACCACAATGCAGTACCACACATGACCTCAGCTGTAGGACATGAGTGGAGTGGGATGAGAGAGCCTGACCACTGCTACCTGGCCAATTGTTCTTTTCCTACACCATTAATATAGTGGCCAGAGCTGGGATTGTCCTAAACTTCCTCGGGAGGTTAAGGACATGTAAGAGAAAGGAAGATTTGCCCTTGTGAAAACAGAACTAAAGCCTTTGAAATTATATTATTAATAACCCTTCTGCTAGAAAGGGTGTGTGGCAGGGCTACACACTGTGCTCAGTTCAGTTCAGTTCAGTCGCTCAGTCGTGTCTGACTCTTTGCGACCCCATGAATCGCAGCACACCAGGCCTCCCAGTCCATCACCAACTCCTGGAGTTTACTCAGACTCATGCCCATCAAGTCGGGGATGCCATCCAGCCATCTCATCCTGTCGTTCCCTTCTCCTCCTGCCCCCAATCCCTCCCAGCACACTGTGCTACTTCTTCTTAAACAGACTATTTTAAATAGTTAAGACAGATATTATTATCCTCTTCTTGCAGAGATGCAAACTGAGCCCTGCGCTCCAGTAAAAAGATAAGTAGTGGTCTCTTAACTCCTGAATGGCACGTGAGAGTCTTTTGTTTATTAAAGCCTGTAGGTTGATTATTGAGGATCAGTGTATTATTCACCTGATGTTAATTATACTACTAAAAATGATGACAAAAAATTACCTTAGTTAATACACGTTACTGTCGATACTGTGAAAGATCCTTTCCTGCCTGGGAAGAAATTGCCCCCATGTCTAAATTCGGAACCCTCTTTTAACCTCAGGCGGAAACCCATCTACTACATTGGACTACATTTCCCATCATACAACGGGAAACGCGCAGAACGCCTCCGTGATTCGACGGGACCTTTAACCAATCCGATGCCAGGCTCTCATTCGGAGACCTATTGACTCCAGGTAGAGGCGGTACCCTCAGTTGCTAGGCTGGTACCCTTTCCGGAAGTGGTTGTTGGGCCGCTGCAGGGCAACACCCCGGCGTCCCTGGAAGCGGGAGCCGGGGTGGTGCTGGGGAAGCCGCGTAGAGCCGGGAGCTAGCGCCCTGGGCCTCCCGGGGGTGGGGGACAGGTGAGAACGCCCTCGAGGGAGAGGTTGGGTGGCGGGGAAGGGAGGGAAGCGGGAGAATCGAGGTACATTCCTGTGCCTTCCAGCGGGATGTGCACGAGTGTGGGCGGGAACTGAAGGAAGAAGTGAAGATGGAGCGCTCAGTGCGGCTGTATCCAAAATCTGAGTGGCGAAGGGCCTGGGCTGGAGTGCTGGCGGGGCAGTGAGAGTGGGCCCTGGGCCACGAGTGGGCTGGCGGGGGCTCTAGCTTGTTTGTCCTGTTCGGAGTTAAGTGTGTAAGGCCGGCCTTCTAAACCTTACTTGAATACTTCTCTCTTGGGGAAGCTTCCCCGGTGTCCGAATCCGGGCAGGCCCAACCTTCTGCCGTCTTTTGGTCAGCTGGGGAAGTTAGTAAGTATTTTGTGTTTTTCTTTCCTTGCATTAAAAAATCCACCTTCTCGGTCTGGAAGTGCCCTCCTCACTCCTCAGTCTCTGCTTTTCTAGTCCCAGCCCCCACTCCCCCCTTTAGCCTTCACAAGCCCCTCCTTTCTACCCACCACATTCCGTCTTGGGGCTATTTCACCCAGAGTTTCAGTTACTATGTATTTAACGGTTTCTCCCCAATTGGCTCCCATCTAGACCTCTTTTCTTGAGGTCCACTTGCTTACTGATCATCCCCAGCTGAATCCTGACCTAACCTTCCTGGTCCCCCAGATCTGTTCCTTCTTTGTAGCTTCTGTCCCAGTGAAGGACTTCATCCCTTCACTCACTTAACCACGTCTGCACTTGTAATTCATTCATCTAAAATATGCTGCAAATATTTGTTGGGCATTTCCTATATCTAGGCAGTATGCTAGGTGGGGCTATTGGGCAAGGCATAGCAGTGAACAGATGATCACAATATACTGGCGTAAGTGCTCTGATTGTCCTCTTGTTTCTCCCTCACTTACTGCAGGCATCAGATACTATTATTCTACCTCTATTATTCTACCTCTACTATTCAACACGTAGAATCTGGCCCTTTTCATTCTCACAGCCACTGACTTCGTTTATCATTTCTTGCCTGTGTTTTCAGGATAACTTTCTAAGTGCTCTCTCTGCTTCTGTTCTTGCCCTCCTCCAATTAGTTTTACACAGCTGTCAGAATCATCTCTCTAAACTACAGATCTGATCAGGCTGGTCTCCTTTGTGAAATCCTGTGATGGCTCCTTGTTATGTCAAGATGCAGCCACAATCCTCCCAAGCCATTTATCATGTGTCCCTTGCCTTCCATAGTACGTCTTTCTCCTGCCATTGTCCCTTGTGTGCTGGTCACCCTGCTTGAACTATTATAAAGAAAGTTCAGCACCAGAAAAGAAAATATTTCCTGGAGAAGGCCCTGAGGAGAACGTGGAAGACATTAGAGTTGATTATGTAGTGGTGATGAGCACAGAGGCTTCTCTTAATACCTCAGTGGTAAAGAATCGGTCTGCTAATGCAGGAGATGTGGGTTTGATCCCTCGGTCCGGAAGATTCCCTGGAGAAGGAAATGGCAGCCCACTCCAATTTTCTTGCCTGGGAAATACCATGGAGAGAGGAACCTGGCGGGCTACAGTCTATGGGATCACAAAACAGTCACACAACTTAGTGACTAAACAAAAACAACAAATGAGCACAGATTTGGGAACATCTTTGGCTTTGAATCCCAGCCCTGCCACTTACCAGCGGGGCAAGTTGCCTCACTTCCCTCATCTGTAAAATGGGATAATAACTAGATCTAAAAGGATGTTTTTTAAGAGCTTAAGGCTTTGGATTCAGATAGACATGGATGCATGCATGTTCTTCTGTGCCATTTACTAGCTGTGAAACCTTGAGCAAATTAAAGTTTTTTTTAAAATTTGCTGAGCCTCAGATTAATTTTTTGAAAAATAAGAGATTATAAAAACCTCTGTTTAGCAGAGAGGATGCGGTGAGATGATTTATATACAGCACTAGTACAGTTCTTGGAACATAGAAAATATTCAGTGAATATAAGCTTTTGTTGTCTTCATTAATTCTCTGCACCTGCCGTATACTCTGTTCTGCCTCTTTGCCTTTGTACAAGCTTTGTCTTTTGCCTCCAAATAACCTTAGTCCCTCATCCTGATGAGCTCCTTCTTAACTTTCAAAAGCCATCTTGATGGTCCTTTCCTCTGCAGTGTTTTCCCTGATCTCCAAAGTAGGATAGGTTGCCCTTGCCTTTGTATTCTGTTCTATTTTCTGTTACTTCCCTTAATGCACTTAACACACTGCATAATCGTGTGTTTTCATATTTGGCTTCATAGTTAGCCTGAGCTGAATTGGTATCAGCTTTGTAGCCCTGACAGCACAGTGCCTGACCATTCAATAAGTGGTTATTGGATGTCTGAATGGCCTTAATTTATATTCCCCGGTACTAGATCTGTCCTCTGGAGCAATGTAGACTATGCCCTTTAAATAAGTGAATGGTGAGATGGTTGGATGGCATCACTGACTCAATGGACATGAGTTTGAACACTCTAGGAGGTAGTGAAGGACAGGGCAGCCTGGCGTGCTGTAATTCATAGGGTTGCAAAGAGTCGGACACAACTTACTGACTGAACAACAATAATAACAGCTAACATTTATTGAGATTTTACTATGTTTTGAGTATTTTACATGTATTGAGTCATTTAATCCTCATAACCCTTTAGATAGACATTGTTGTTATCCCTGTTTTACAGGAGAGGAAACTGAGGCAACTTGCCCAGGTGGTAAGTGATAGAGCTGGATTCAAAGCCAAGAATGTTCCCAAGCCTGTGCTCATTACCACTACCTAATCAACTCTAATGGCTTCTCCAGTAAATCTTCTCTTTTCTGGTAGTGAACTTTCCTTAATAATTGTTTGAGCAGGGTGGAAGAAATAATACTCAGGGAACCTTAAGTATGCATGTGCGTGTGTATGCTCGGTGAGTATGCCGGTGTGCAGAACTCTTTGGCTGTGCCTGTTAAATTAGACCACATGCATAGAAGGTAACCACAACGTGGGGAGACTGGGAACCAATGGCATGTGATGAAGGGAAGGGAGGTGGGAAAACTTGACTTGGAGTAGAGATGCCTTGGGTGCTCTCTGTGGGTCCAAAGGGTGGAACCGGACAAATGGGAGGAAGTTTCTTAGAAACAGATTTTTGGCTTAACGTGAGAAAGACCGTTTAATAGTTAAGAATGATTTAACTGTGGAATTGGCAGTAATATCAGTAATACTGCTAAATTTATTAACATATTTTGTGTATCAGAAACTGCGCTCGGTACAAGTATTGTTTCATCTTCAAACAGCCTTTTGAGGTAGATTATCATGGCTGTTTGAGTTATGTGCATGAGGTTGTTGAGGCTTAGAGAAGGGGAAGTACCTTGCCTAAGGTCAAACAGCTAGTAAGCAAGGGAGATGGGATTTAATTCGCCTGTTTCTGGCCCCCAAACTGGTGCTTCGACCATTAATGCTGCCTGCCACAAAGCACAGAGGAGAACTTTGGCATGGGAAGCACAGTTGGACCAAAGCTCCTGTGATTTTCTTCTGGCTTTTGAGATTCCTCGGTTGTCTGTTAGTGGTTTAGAGCAGTGACTGGGCTCCTACCTTTACATAGCTTATTTTAGGCTTGGTTGCAAAATGCAGAAGGAGGCAGAGGCATGGCCTCAGAAGTCTGTGGTTTAACAGGAGAGGTAGAACACATCCCCATGGAAGAGGTCATGTGGAAAATTATATGCCTATGAACACAAGAAAACCTGTGTGCTTTGTCCTGGAGTGGTTGTAAGTTGACAGGAGAGGCTGAGGTTAGTCAGGGAGGGCTTCCTGGAGGAGGTATATGAGCCATTCTTATTTTTTTTGCTAGATTCTGGGATTGGCAGGGATGGGTGAGGACAGCTGGGTGACCCTCCCCCGAAGCTCTGTGGCTCAGTGAGTGTCAGGCCTGGTGGCATGCCCATGTCATCAGGTTTCATTTGCCCGGTTGGTAAGGGCTGCATGGAGTGCAGTGTCGACAGTCCTGAAGCCTTGTCGGGGGTGCCAAGGTTGACAGCGCTGTCTCATCTAGATTGGCTTATGGTTTCCTCCCTAATCACTCTGCAGCTACTCTGATTTTCTTCTTTCCAACCTGGCCTCCGTTTCTGTCTGTATTTCCAGTGGCTCCTGGAGTAGGGTCTTTCAAAATGTGTATCTGGAAAACCCTTTCCTGACTTCCAGCTCTCTGGACCTTCCAAGCCAAGTTCTTGGCGTGGCTTGGCTGCAACCCACCTACCCAGGTCGTCTCCGACAGCCCTTCTCCTCACTTAGGGTTCTTTCCTGTTGGAGGGCCTTTGCACTTGCTGCTGCTTTGTTAGAACACCTTTATCTCCTCTCTTTGTCTGGTGACTACCTATTCACTCTTCACTTCTCAGCACGGGCTTCATCTAAATCAGGCACATTTCCTTTAGAGCTCTTCCCCAGTTAAAATTATACACTTTTCCATGACTGGTTTGTCTCCTTGCCTCACTAGACCAGTTCCAGGGGAGTAGCCACTGAATCTGTTTTTAATCGCCTCTCCAGTGCCCAGCAATAAATAAATATTGGATTGGCCAAAAAGTTCATTTGGGTTTTTCTGTAGGGTATTAAGGGAAAATCCAAATGCACCTTTTGGGCCAACCCAGTATTTCTTGAATGAATAAGTATCTCCAGCTGCCATTAAACGAATATGGTTTCTCTTCCACTACCTTCCTCAATCCTGCAATCCCTGTTCTTTTCACCCTGTCCTTGCCTACCTCTTTCCTGAAGCTAGGAAATAGACCTCTCACATTTTAATTTTTTTTCCGGCAGAAGATTTGTTTGACATTTGAGTGATTCAGGAATTTAGATTTTCCACATTCTTCCCGAACTTTATAAATAGTTAAACACAGACAGTTCTGTAAGTAGCTAATGAGGCATTTTGCCAGGAAGACAAGAGATTTTACCTGCCCCCTCTTTCTGGAGATGGCACGTGTCTAGGGATAGGGAAGTCTGTGAAAGGCAGAACTTCTCAGGTTCCCTGAGTTAGTTGGTGCAGTGCCTTGTATAGATCACTGCCTGTTGAATTGAATAAGGTACAGCCTGATGTTCAGGCCACTGTGATTCCTCCACCCATAGAGATCCTTTCTTCTTTCCTTTCCCTCTCCTCTCTGACTCAGGATTAAAGATTCTGAGATCTCTTTAAGCCACCAGCCTGTGGACCACGTTCTGCTGCCCTGGTTCTCATACTTTCTTGCTTTGCTTTTTCCACATCGGGGCCCTACTTATGGTAGACTGCATGGGGGGGCATTACAAGCATTACATCCACAGGTGTTATGTGTTCTTAGGGGAGGGAGAGAGCATCTCACTTGGGCTTAAGTACTGCCAGGAAGAATGCTGCTTTCTTTAACCTTTCTTCCTGAGGCCCTAAGTTACTGCTTGGAGGTGTCATGGTGGGAATGGTCGCTCCATTGGGTCCAGTGACAGACACAGGGAAACATCTTTTTTAAAAAGCGTTTTTGCTTATTTTTGGCTGTGCTGGGTCTTCGTTGCTACACCTGGGCTTTCTCTAGTTGTGATGAACAGGGGCTGCTCTCTAGCTGCAGTGCATGGGCTTCCCATTGCGGTGGCTTCTCCTGTTGCGGCGCACGGGCTCTAGGCATGCGGTTGTCAGTGGTTGTGGCACTTGGGCTCAGTTGCCCCGTGGCATCTGGGATCTTGCCAAAACAGGGGTCGAACCTGTATCCCTGGCATTGGCAGGTGGATGATTCTTCACTGTACCACCAGGGAAGTCTGGGAACCATCTTCTTTGAGTCCTAAGGCAAGACACCTCCCTTGTCCATCTCTCACCTGCCAGGGCGCAGCAAGGGCTACGGAATGGTCCTTCAGAGGTCCTTTGCGTTTATCAGGGACCCTCCTCCAGAAATCTTGGAGCAGATTCAGAGTCACTGACCTGGCCATTTCCTGACCATTCTTTATGAGCTGTATCCCGGCCTCCTTTCTGAAGATTAGGTCTGTCTGCTCACTCCCCTGTTGCGAGGGCTGTGTCATGCTCGCCGCCCCAGGTGAACACTGCCTGCTTCTGAAGAGGCGGCTGCAGGAGATGTCGGAAAGTTCCTCCAGGCTCCCTTTGGTCACAATGGGATGGCTGACATTGCCTCAGTGGGGCTGTCTGCACATGCTACAGGCTGACTTGTCCTGACATCGTCAGGCTTCAGTGTGCGAGCTCCCACAGGGGACTGGTGCTGTGACCTGGGGTCCTGAGGTTGTTGAAGGAGCAGGGATGCGAAGGGAGGAACAGGTCTGGAACCACACCAGCCTGTCAGTTGAAGAATGTGGTACTGCCCCGTCCCTGAGCTAGAAACCTTGCATTCAGGTTGGGTTCCTTTCCACTCTTCCTGCCCCCGCCCCACCCCCATCCTGGTCTGATTGATAGCTTAGGTGAACGGTGTGGGATTCGTGATCTCTGAAGAAGATTTAACTTGGGGACCAGGGACCAGGCTTGATCACTCAAGAACTTTTGTGTAGCAGAGTTTTATTCAAGTGAAAAGGGACTTCAAAAGCTTCTGACATAGACATCAGAAGGGGAATGGAGAATGCCCCTCTTGCTAGTCTAAGCAAGGGAGTTGTATACTTTTTAAATTAGTTATTGCAATAAATCAAAAGAATGTGTCGAAGTTGTAAAGATCTTACTAGACCCACTCCCATAATGTACATTTTAAGATAACAGGATTAGTCAGAAGGTTTTCAGTAAGGAGAAGCTGTCCTCAAGCAGGATACATTGTTGTGATATTATCCTTATTACAAAGTTTAAACTGAGTTGTTTGCTGTGTAATCATCAGTTCCAGGCTTAAAGAGAAAAAAGTGTTTTAGGTGCCTAAGACTAAGGAATGTAGAGAATAAAAGGTATTTGTCCTTTCCTCCTCCTTGAGAATTCCAGACCCCTATCTCGAGAATTCCAGAGCCCCAGACCCGCCTCTCCTCCTCAGGAATCCCGGGCTTCCTATCAACCTGCGTAGGAATTGACTCTGTCATTGTTAAACCGAGCATCACATCGTCCCTTGTATCTATCCCTTTTTCTCCATTCCAACTGCTTCTGCCCTAGCTGAAGCCCTCATCATCTTTCCTGGGAACCGTAGCCTCTTTAGTGATTTTCCTGACGCTAGTCTCTCATTTCTCCAATCCGGCCAGGCCACTCCTGCCAAAGTTCTCATCTTGGAAAAAAAGGCCACTCTGTGTTACTTTCTTCCACCAAAGCCCTCAGTGACTCCCCTCTGCTACAGGGCAGAGTCGAGGCCTTTCAGCATCATCCACCAAGCTCTCCGTGACCGGGCCTGGCTTCCCCGTGGTCCCTGCCATGCACACTGGCGTTGGCGCTGCATAATGCCTTGCCTCAAAGGCTGTTCCCTCTGCCTGGGTTCTTCTCTCTGCTCTCAGAACTCTTGTCAGCCTTCTGCACCCGGTTCCTTAACAAAGTCTGCCTTCATCCCTGCACTGGGAGTGTGTGACCTCTTTCTTAATGCTCCCCAGAGCATGTGTTTTTTCTCTTCTGCCTTCTACTGCTGTTGAAGCTGTGTGCCTGCCTCCACTAGACTGTAAGCTCCCTGAGGGCTTCGCTGAATGTCAGTAGGGATGTGCCACATGTTGAGACAGCCTGAGCGCACTGGGGGACATTGGTGTATGGGGGTGCGTGTGCTGCTAGTTATTTTGGTGTCTCACTAGGGTTTTCTAGCAGGGGTCAAGGCTGTTTGTTCTTACTCATCTTTGTGGGCAAGTGTATGACATCAAACCCTTGAGAGAGCTGGGTTTCCAGAACTTTTGTGGTCCATGGAGTCTTCAGCAAGGCTTTGGGGGAGGTGTGTCTCCAGGAACTTTCCCAGGTACAGAGCCTAAAAGGCCTGTAAGTTCTGAGCTGTTGGTTCCCTGTTCCACTGTCCCCAGTGTCTGGAAAAACCTCCTTTCTGGCCCAGCTGGCCTGCAGGAGCTGGGCTGCCCAGGTGCCCCAAGACCAGCTCTAGCTTCTCCGCTTCTAAGCCGGGGCACTGATTTTTCTTTCTGGGTCGGGGATCTAGGCGTTGGAGCCCAGACCGATCATGGCCGGCAGACCCATCCGCATAGGAGACCAGCTGGTTCTGGAGGAAGACTATGATGAGAACTACATCCCCAGCGAGCATGGTAAGAGGCCCCGGGGGTGTCGTGATGGTTCTGTGAGGGCAGTTGTTGCTGATTTAATTTTCGTTCTTCTAATGTAGAGGCGGGAACGTGCATGGGGCTTTTCGGTATCTTTGGGTTACATCCAGGGCTGGCAAACTATAGCCCATGGGCCTCACCTGGCCTGTAGCTTGCTTTTGTAAAAAGTTTTATTAGAAAACAGCCACACTTACCTGTTTATGTGTTGTTTATGGCCGCTTTCACACTGTAGGGGCAGTATTGAGTCATTGTGACAAGAGACTGTACAGCCCACAGAGCCTAAAATATTTACTTTTTATGGAAAAAATTTGGTGACCTTGGGTCGGATCAGTGATTAATTTTAAATGAAAATATGGTGGAGGATATCATAAAATACAGTATGCCCTGAGGCTAGGGGAAACTCAGTTTCTTAAAATGTGTTAGTCGCTCAGTCTGTCCAGTTCTTTGCAACCTATGGACTGTAGCCCTCCAGGCTCCTCTGTCCTGAAACTTTCTAGGCAAGAATATTGGAGTGGGTTGCCATGCCTTCCTCCAGGAGATCTTCCCAACCCAAGGATTGAACCTAGGTCTCCTACATTGCAGGTGGACTCTTTACAGTCTGAGCCACCAGGAAGTGGTTGTGTTTTTTTAAAACAACAATAGCATTATTAGTAAAAATAACAACACAATTTATTGAGTGCTACCATGTGCCAGTCTCTCTACAAAAGAACTTTACATGTTATTTCCTTTTCAACCCTCATAGCAACTCCATGATTGAGGCACTATTATTATCCCATTTTACAGATGAGGAAACCAAGGCACCAAAAGGTTAAGTCACTTCCTAATAGTCATACAGTTTACTACAGGGCAGTGAGGATCCACACCCAGGTCTTCAAGTTCCAGGGCCTTCACTGTGAAACACCATGCTATTTTGATGGGTGAAGATTTCTTTGAATTTCACCTGAGTTGCAGACCTGGACACACAGATTTTGCTTATAGTTCAGATGGTTTGTGAGCCAGTTTGGGGGAAGAACTGTTGTGTCTGTGGATCTGATAGGATAGGATAGGATTTGTTATATAGCATAGGATTATTGTTTGCTTGCCATGAAGAAATTCAAATTGAAAAAAAAATTTTTTTGGCCACTCTGTGTGGCACGTGGGATCTTTGTTCCCAACCAAGGACCAAACCTGCACCCCCTGCAATGGAAGCACAAAGCCTTAACCACAGGACCACCAGGGGAGTCTCGCTATGTAGAAATTTTTAATCTTTGTGTTAAATTTATAAGTCAGTTCTCATATGGCCCCTGAATTTTGATCATGTGAAGCTCCCCTGCTCTCAGGTTTTCCTTAGGTTTGTCTCCACACTGCTCACTGAATGGCTCATCCTTCACCCACTGGTTGAGTGCCACATTTGTGCATGAGGGTCTGCTTTCTCTTCTATTCTTTGAGGGAGGCTGTTCATACAGAGCTATGCTCTGAATTACTGAGGCTCAAGTTATAAGCCTTCCAGTATCTAGTAAGGCCAAAATGCCCTTCTTCTTTCAAAGTTTTCTTGGTTATCTTGTCTGCTTTATCTCCCCATGGACTTTATAATCTCCCTGTCTTTCTGGGGAGGGTTGTGTATTGGGGGAACTGTTAGTAGGAAAAAATTAGAGAAAACTGTGTTAAATTTATGAATGAGCCTGCGGAGGATTGCCATCTCTGTGCAGTTAGTTAAGTTATGCATCCAGGTCAACCTGGGGGTTCCTATCAAAGAACATCTATTCCTTTCCGTTTGCATCTTTTTTTGTTTTCTTCAGGGGTAACTGGAAGTTTTCTTCATTTTGATTTTGCACACCTCTTACTCAGTTTGTTTGTTTCTTTTTTTTTTTTTTTTTGGCTGTGCTATGTGACATGTGGGATCTTAGTTCCTCAACCAGGGATTGAACCCACATCTCCTGCTTTGAAAATGTGGAGTCTTAACCACTGATCCATCAGGGAAGTCCCCTCAGCTTATTTCTTAAATATTTTATTCTTTTTGGTTTGCTGTTGTGAAGGGGGTCTAACTTTTTTTCAGGATTTTTATTAAAAAACCTCTCTTCTGCTCAGTCCTGTGCAGACATCCTGAGTTTGAGCCCCCATTTTCTGTTCCTGGGCTCGCAGCCGCTTCCCAGTCTGCCTCCCTGCTTCTCCTCCTCCGCCTGCAGTCTGTGCTCCACTTAGCGCCAGAATGAGCTCGCAGTGTGAAGCGGATCCCGTCAGGGCTCTGCTTTTCATAATCTTCCATATGATCTTGCACTGTTCTCAGCACAGCGCCCTCAGTGGGATGTGCAGGACTCTGTATGAGCCGGCCCTGCCACCTGGCCTGGCTGACTCAGCGCCTGTCTCTCCCTGTACTAGGCACACGGCCTTTCTGGCCATCCCCAGACAGGCCAGCCTGCTATGTGTCGCAGGCCCTTTGCATCTGCTCTTCTGCCTAAGAGCTCTTTGCTCAGTGTCTTGCATGCCTGGCTCCTCTGTTTCCCACAGAATTAGTTAAGCGTCACCATTCTGGGAAATTTTTGGACCACTCATTCTAAAGGAGTGTCCCTCTACCTCGACAGTCTCAGTCTCGCACCCCACTTACTGCCTTCACTATGTTTATCAGAAGCTTTACTTCCTTTATATTTATCTGTTGATGTCATTATTGGCTGTTTCTTCTACCAGCATGTAAGCTCCATAAGGACAGAGGCCATTTTTCTTGTAGTCTTGGCACATGGTGACTGGCACATAGAAGGTACTCAGAAGATATTTGTGAAATCATTGAACACATAGTCCTTGGCTAGCAACATTTCAGCTGGTCCCTTTTGCCTTTCCTAGTCCCTGGCTATGTCAGCCTCCAAAATCTTCTGCTGAGATGACCCATAAAGTCGCTCAGTCATGTCTGACTCTTTGCGACCCCATGGACTATACAGTCCATGAAGTTCTCCAGGCCAGAATACTGGAGTGGCATTTCTCTTCTCTTTCCAACCCAGGGATTGAACCCAGGTCTCCCTCATTGCAGGCAGATTCTTTACCAGCTGAGCCACAAGGGAAGTCTAAGAATACTGGAGTGGGTAGCCTATCCCTTTTCCAGGGGATCTTCCCAACCCAGGAATCAAACTGGGGTCTCCTGCATTGAAGGCGGATTCTTTACCAGCTGAGCTAGCAGGGAAGCCCCAAAAGGATAGGGTAAAGGTGAACAGCCAGATGAAGAGATACATAGGGCGAGACCTGAGAGGGTCCCAAGTGCCGGAGCTCCTGTCCCGATGGAGCTGGGATGTGCCACTCTTCGGCATGTGAAAGTGTCGGGAGATATCTGAACCCGAGTTTAGGGATTTTTATGGAGTCTTCGTCATGTAGGTATGATCACCTACTAACTCATTTTATAGCCCCTCTCTAGAGAATGCGGGCAGTGAGGCTGAAAGTTCCAAGCTTCTAATCATGACTGGTCTTTCTGGTGACCAGATCACACCCAGGAGTCCACCCAGAGTTGCCTCATTGGGACAGAAGACCCTCCCATCCCTCAGGAAATTCCACAAGATGTAGGAGCTGGGGCCAAAGACCAAATATTAGCTGGAACAGGGGCAGAGACCAATATATCTCTCTCATTATCTCTCAAGACTGATTGTGATTTTTCCTTCTTTGTATCCACCCCCTCCCATTCTTACCTCTCTCACCTTGCCACCCCCTTGCTCCTCCTCGCAGAAATTCTTGAATTTGCCAGAGAGATTGGTATTGATCCCATAAAGGAACCAGAGCTGATGTGGCTGGCGCGGGAGGGCATTGTGGCCCCATTGCCTGTGGAGTGGAAACCATGGTGAGTTCAGCATGGGTGCAGCCCTCTGGCTTGGCCTGTGTGGCGGAGGGAGGAGATCAGCTTTAACTGGTCACCTTTTTTTTTTTTAAATATTCATTTTTATTTATTTATTTGACTGTATCAGGTCTTAGTTATGAGTCTTTGATTTTAGCTGTGGCATGTGGTATCTGGTTCCTTGACCGGGGATTGAACCTGGGCCCCCTGTATTGGGAGCATAGAGTCTTAGCCACTGGACTACCAGGGAAATCCTTTGGCCACCTTTTGAAGCCTGTCCTGCATAGAATTGAGAACAGCAGTGGGCCATCCCTCTGGCCTCTTTGGGCCAGAGTCCAGGTCACCTTTCTTTTTTTCCCAAAGAGAGGCAATGCCAAAGAATGTTCAAACTACTGCACAATTACACTCATTTCATATGCTAGCAAAGTAATGCTCAAAATTCTCCAAGCTAGGCTTCAACAGTACATGAACCAAGAACTTTCACATGTTCAAACTGGATTTAGAAAAAGAGGAACCAGAGATCAAATTGCCAACAGCTGTTGGATCATAGAAAAGGCAAGGGAATTTCAGGAAAAACATCTGCTTCGTTGATTGTTACACTAAAACCTTTGACTGTTTGGATCACGAAAAAAGCTGTGGAAAATTCTTAAAGAGATGGGAATATCAGACCACCTTATCAGCCTCCTGAAAAACCTGTAGCAGTTCAAGAAGCAACAGTTAGAACTGGACATGGGAATATGGACTGGTTCCAAATTGGAAAGGGAGTACATCAAGGCTGTATATTGTCACCCTGCTTATTTTAACTTACATGCGGAGTACGTCATGCAAAATGCTGGGCTGGATGAAGCACAAGCTGGAATCAAGATTGCTGGGAGAAATATCCATAACCTCAGATATGCAGATGATAGCACTCTTATGGCAGAAAGTGAAGAGGAACTAAAGATCCTCTTGATGAACATGAAAGAGGAGAGTGAAAAAGCTGGCTTGAAATTCAACATTCAAAAAAAGAAGATCATGGCATCTGGTCCCATCAGTTCAGTTCAGTCGCTCAGTCGTGTGTGACTCTGCAGTCCCGTGGACTGCAGCATGCCAGTCCTTCCTGTCCATCACCAACTCCCGGAATTTACTCAAACTCATATCTATCGCATTGGTGATGCCATCCAACCATCTCATCTTCTGTTGTCCTCCTTTTCCTCCCGCTTTCAATCTTTCCCAGCATCAGGGTCTTTTCCAATGAATCACGTCTTCGCATCAGGTGACCAAAGTATTGGAGCTTCAGCATCAGTCCTTCCAATAAATATTCATGACTGATTTCCTTTTGGACTGACTGGTTTGATCTCCGTGCAGTCCACGGGACTCTCAACACCACAGTTCAAAAGAATCAATTCTTCGGCACTCAGCTTTCTTTATAGTCCAATTCTCACATCCATACATAACCACTGGAAAAACCATAGTTTTGACTAGACAGACCTTTGTTGGCAAAGTAACATCTCTGCGTTTTAATATGCTTTGTAGGTTAGTCATAGTTTTTCTTCCAAGGAGCAAGTGTCTTTTAATTTCATGGCTGTAATCATTGTCTGCAGTGATGGTGTTTTTTGGAGCCAAAAAAAGTCTCTCACTGTTTCCATTGTTTCCCCATCTGTTTGCCATGAAGTGATGGGACCAGATGCCATGATCTTAGTTTTCTGAATGTTGAGTTTTAAGCTAACTTTTTCACTCTCTTCTTTCACTTTAATCAAGAGGCTGTTTAGTTATGCTTCGCTTTCTGCCATAAGGGTGGTGTCATCTGCGTATCTGAGGTTATTGATAATTCTCCCAGCAATCTTGATTCCAGCTTGTGCTTTATTCAACCTGGCATTTCAAATGATGTACTCTGCATACAAGTTAAATAAGCAGGGTGACAATATACAGCCTTGACGTACTCCTTTCCATGTCCAGTTCTAACTGTTGCTTCTTGACCTGCATACAGATTTCTCAGGAGGTAGGTCAGGTGGTCTGGTATTCCCATCTCTTGAAGAATTTTCCACAGTTTATTGTGATCCACATAGTCAAAGGCTTTGGTGTAGTCAATAAAGCAAAAGTAGATGTTTTTCTGGAGCTCTCTTGCTTTTTTGATGATCCAGCACATGCCAGTCCCATCACTTCATGGTAAGTAGATGAAGAAACAATGGGAACAGTGACAGACTTTATTTTCTTGGGTTCCAAAATCACTGCAGATGGTGACTGTAGCCTTGAAATTAAAAGACGCTTGCCCCTTGGAAGAAAAGCTATGCCAAATCTCAACAGCATGTTAAAAAGAAGAGACATTACTTTGCTGACAAAGGTCCATATAGTCAAAGCTTTGGTTTTTCCAGTAGTCATGTAGATGTGAGAGTTGGACCATAAAGAAGGCTGAGCGCTGAAGAATTGACGCTTTCGAACTGTAACGTTGGAGAAGAACTGTGATGTTGGAGAGTCCCGTGGACTGCAAGGAGATCAAACCAGTCAGTCCTAAAGGAAATCAACTTTGAATATTCACTGGAAGGACTGATGCTGGAGCTCTAGTACTCTGGCCACCTGATGTAAAGAACGGACTCATTAGAAAAGACCCTGATGCTGGGAAAGCTCGAAGGCCAGAGAAGAAGGGGCAGCAGAGAATGAGATGGCTGGATGGCATCACCGGTTCAATGGACATGAGTTTCAGCAAACTCTGAGAGATGGTGAGGGACAGGGAAGCCCTGTGTGCTCCAGTCCACAGAGTTGCAGAGTTGGACACAACTGAGCAACTGGACAACAGCAACCAGGTTAGCTTTCTGGTCCCCGGAGGGTCCCAGGATCTCAGCTGCTGCCCTGCATCAAGCTCTCGAGCGCCATCATCTGCTTCAGGCACACGGAGGAGGTGTTGTTCTTTGCAGACTGAGATGGAGAGGACAGCACTGGGACCTCCTCCGCATGTCCAGAGTGGATGCTGGCGCTGGAGAGGTTTGCGTGCGATGACATGGACTGGCAGCGGTTTCTGTCTCCCTGCACAGCCCAGCCCTGAACTTGTGTGACCGGTTCATGAATGGGTCCGTGTTTCCAGTTTCAGTTTGAGCTCTGAACTGTGAGGAGCAGGCATTCGCTCAGGTCATCTCAGGTGAGCAGAGGCTGATGGTGAGGATCAGACTGGCTGAGGTGGGGCAGCCGCTGCCATCCACCTCTGCCCCCCCGCCACCAGGATTTTCACTCTTGGAGACGCAGCTCTGTCTTCCTCACGTACACAGAGCTCTCTCCACGCCGCCTCCCTACAGTAAGTGACCCGAGTTTTGTACCAAAGAATGGGATTTCCTGTTTGTCCCACACTAGCCCTCAGATGTCGGCGGGGGAGGGGGGTGTCGTGTCTTCTGCTGGGATTGTGCAGTTGTGTGTACAAGGTGTGATTATTCTCTTCTTTCCTGAACCACTGGATGCATTGGCCATGCTTCAAAATGACTGCAGTTGTAGCCTCACTCATCACTCCTCAGAGGCCTAATCCTTCCAGTTCTTCTTGCTTGGCAGGTTCCCTGTTCTCTGGACCTTTTTGGCCACTTTTCCTTGGACCTTCTCCAGTTCATGACATCTTTCTTGCAGGAAAGACACCAGCACTGTGCATGGTATTCCAGGTGCTGAGGCTTCATGGTTGTGTTTGTAGGTAGTGGTTTCTGTTGGCCTCCAGTATCCATCGTGTTAGCCACATTTGCCTCATCATTAATCTCTTTATTCTTTTTCTTTTTTTTCCATATATTTATTTGGCTGTGCTGGGTCTTAGTTGCAGCACGTGGGTCTTTATTGCTACATGCGAACTGTTACTTGTGACATGTGGGATCTAGTTCCCTGACCAGGAATCGAACCCAGGCCCCCTGCACTGGGAGCATGGAGTCTTAGCCAGTGGACCACCAGGGAAGTCCCAGATCTGAAATATTCTCACCACAGAAAAGAAATGGTGATTATGGAGGTAGTGGAGGCGTTAACTAACCCTGCTGTGGTAATCATTGCATAGTAAAGAAGTTTATCAAATCATCATGCTGTGTACTGAAAAAATTATCTCATTTCTATAAACTTATTTCTACTTCCTACTTAAAAAAAAAGAAGCCTATGTACATGTGTCCTCTTTCACCGTTACACCCAATCCCGTGAGTAACTGCTGTCACTTGGGGAATTCCTTCCAGGTCTGGATTCTCTGTTGTCTTCCATTGGTCTATTTGTTTACCTTACACAAATACCATGCTGTCAGGGTTACTGTAGCTTTATTATAAATCTTAATATCATTTAGAGTAAATCCTGCAACTTTGTTCTCCATTTTCAAAGTTGTATTCTAGGTCCCTTGCATTTCTGTATGAATTTTAGAATCAGCTTGTCAATTTCTATAAAAAATCCTGTTTAGGGTTTTGACTGAAATTGCACTGAATCTATAAATCAGTTTGAGAGGACTGACATTTTAAACAACATTGAGTCTTCCAACTTATGAACACAGTCTGTTTCCATTTATTTAGGCTTTCTTTAATATTGCTAAGAAATCTTTTATAGTTTTTAGTTTACACATCTTGCCCATATTTTGTCAGATTTATCTCCTTTTTTGATGCTTCTGGTATCTTGTGTTTATTTTTGCTATCGAAGTATAGTTGATTTATGATGTATTAATTCTGCACAGCAAAGTGATTCAGTTATAAATATACATTCATTCTTTTTCATATGCTTTTCCATTATGTTTATAAATGTTATTTTTTAAAATGTCAATTTCCAAGTGTTGGTTGCATTCATATAAAATAAAATTGGTTTTTGTATACTGATCTTCTAGCCTGCAACCTTGCTAAACTTACGTTAGTTCTAATAGCTTTTTTTTGTAGATTCTATAGAATTTTCTACATAGATAATATGTCTTCTGGGAATGAAGACTTTTTTCATCTTCTTTTCTAACATGGATATCTTATATTTCTATTTCTTGCCTTATTGCACTGACTGGAACCTTTAATAAAGTTGAACAGAAATGGTGACGATGAACATTTTAGGCTTATTTCTGATCTTAAGGGGAAGCATTCCCCTTAAGTCTTTCACCATTAAGTGTGATTTTAGCCAGGTTAACTGTAGGGTTTTCTAACTGTCCTGTGTCAGGATGAAGAAGTTGCCTTGTATTCCTAGGTTGCTGAGAGTTTAAATCTGAAATGGATATTGAATTTTGTTAAATATTTTTTCCTACATCTATATATGCATCTGCATATACCAAAGAATCATGATTTTTCTACATTGGTCTGTTAATACGGTCAGTTATATTGATTGGCTTCCAGTTGTTAGACTGACCTTACTTTCTTGGGGTAAACTGCTTGATAATGGTTACATATTATTGGATTTCATTTATTAAAATTTTATTAAGTATCTTTTCTCCAAAATAATAGCTTGAAGGAGATGAGATAGAGTTGGGTATTTTTTAAATTATTGATTTCCAATTTTATTTGTTCAATATATCTATTCTTTGTTACATGCTATTACAGAATTCTGGTTCAGTAATTGTTCCTGCTTGTCTAAGTGTTTTATATGTGCTTGATAAGAATGTGGTCTCTCATTTTTTTAGATTGAAGTATAGTGATTTACAGTTTTGTGTTAGTCTTTGGTATACAGCAAAGTGATTCAGTTATATACATGTGTGTGTATGTGTATATGTATATGTATAATTTTTTTTATGTTCTTTTCCATTATGGTTTACTCAAGAATGTTGAACACAGTTCCTTGAGCTAACAGCAGGACCTTGTTGTATCTGTTAACACCAAACTCCTAATGTGTCCTTCCCCACCCGCTTTGGTAAACACAAGCTTGTTTCCTACGTCTGTGAGTCTCTTTCTGTTTCTTAAATGTCCTTTTCACCAAGCATGCCAAGTGTGTTGATCTTCTAGTGTCCTGAGCAATTGTTGTCTGGTCTCCCTCTTCCCCACCCAGGGGTTGATCCGGGGCCCTGACTGTGAAAGTGCTGAGTTCTCCCCACTGGACCACAAGGGAATTTCCTGGTCTCACTCTTGAATAATGGTTTAGTTGCATACAGATTTGTCAAACAACCCTTTGATAATATTGTAAATTGTATACCTTTATCTTCTGTCTGCTGGGTTCGCTAATAAGACATGTTTTTTGGTTTTATTAGTTGTTCCTCTGTAGGTAATCAATTTTTCCCCCCTCTGGTTGTTTTCATCGTTTTGTTTTTAATCTTTGGTGTCCTGTAATTTCACTACAATGTATCTAAGTGTGGATTCACTTTTATTTACTGTGTCTAGGAATTGAAATGCTTTCTTACTGAGGACTCATGTCTCTCTTCAATTTTGAAAACTTCTCAACCATTATCACTTTCTTTTCTGAACTCTTAACCATAAATATATTAGACCTAATTATTTTTATCCACCATGTCTTTTAACTTCCGTTTCATATTTTAAAAATGACTTTATAATTTTCTTTAGCATATATATTTCCCAGTCCACTGTTTGTTTCTTCTGTGTCAAATCTGCTGCTTAATCAATGTGTTCTTTTTTTTTGATTTGTTTGTTTTGAATTTAATGACTACTAATTCCTACAAGTTCTCTTATGTTCTTTTTTTAATTTTATTTTTCATTTTGGCTGCAGTGGGTCTTTGTTGTGGCATGCTAGCTTCTCTAGTTGTGGTATGTGGGCTTAGTTGTGGCATGTGGGATCTTAGTTCCCTGGCCAGGGATTGAGCCCAGGCCCCCTGCATTAGGAGCATGGAGTCTTAACCACTGGACCACCAGGGAAGTCCCCTTATGTTCTTTTCAATATGCGTAGGTTTATTTATTTATTTTTAAAGAGTTCTGTTCTTTCATTATGGATTCTCTTCCTTTATCCCTCCAATAATTTAAAATATCGTTATTTTTAGTCTTCTTTTGATTGTTCTACTCTCAGTTGTTCTTTTCATTGTGTTACTGATTTTCCTTCATGGTTAAGTGTTTCCTCACATGGTTTGTAATTATTTATTGTGCATTTTGTGAATTCATTTTCTGCAGAGGTTATTTTCTGTGAGTGTTTCATTCCTGGGTTGTTGAGTAGCCTTACAGTGGTTTCTGTCAAGGATTTTTTTAGTGCTTTAGGATTCAATTTTTACGTTAATTTCCCAGATCTGGCATTTTCTTACCACATTTTGGACTCTATCTACATATGTCTTGGGGTTTCAGTTTTTCATTAAATTTTATTTTCCTCACCTAGAACCTGGAGTGGGTGATGTGCTTCCTTGCTACTTCTGTGGCCCACTGGGTCCTTTTATTCATGGAGAGAACAGCCTGAAGAACCCCAGATATATCTAGGGTCTCAGTTTTAGTTTCCAAACTTATGATGCCCTAAGGCCACATTTTGTTCTAGGTTGGCATTTAAACTCAGGTTCGGTGGGCCTATATCGAGGTCAGATCCCGACCTTGACCTGTCAGTTCATGCAGTTATTACTCAGATTTCATGCTTTCTTTCTGTTTCTGACCTCTGAGAATTTCTCTTTCTGTTGGCTATGTGAATAATGCTGCTGTGAACATTGGTGTACAAATAACCTGTTTGAATTCCTGCTTTCAGTGTTTTTTGGGTGTATACCCAGAGGTAGAATTGCTGGTTTATATATGGTAATTCAGATTTTTAATATAGTGCTGTATCTTTAAAATTTGAAATTTATTTTTATTTTTGACTCTGCTGGGTCTTCGTTGCTGTGCGCAGGCATTCTTTGGTTGAGGAGAGCAGGGGCTATTCTAGTTGTGGTGCGCGGACTTCTCATTGTGGTGGCTTCTCTTGTTGCGGAGCACGGGCTTTAGGGTGCAGGGGCTTCAGTAGGTGTGGCACACGGGCTTGGTTGTTCTGTGGCATTCGAGATCTTTCTGGACCAGGGATTGAACCCATGTCCCCTGCACTGGCAGGCAGATTCTTAACCACTGGACCACCAGGGAGATTCGGTAATTCTAACTTTTCTGTTACATTGTTGGAACTGTCACGCTGTTGTTCACCTTGGCTATACCATTTTATGTTCCCACCAGTAGCGTACCAGAGTTCCAGTTTCTCTACATCCTGGCCAGCACTTGTTAATTTCTGCTCTTTGATAATAGTTGTGTTAATGGGTGTGAAGTGGCATTTCATGGTGGTTTTAATTTTCATTTCCCTAATGTTGAGTGATGCTGAGCATCTTCTCATGTGCTTCTTGGCCAAGACAAGGTCGAGTTTCATAAGGAGCCTGATTAGGATTGTGTTGGATTTATATATTTATTTGAGGATTATTGTCATGTTTACAGACTTGAATCCTATTCAGGAACACAGGGTGTCTCACCAATTGTTTTTTTCCTCCCCTGAATTTTCAGTAAAACTTTATGAAGGTCTGGCACACGCTGTGTTTATTCCTGGGTATTTTATCTTTCACATTGTTATTGTGATGGGTTTTTTCCTATTAGCTGTCCTAATGGATTACTGATAATGGTGGATGGGATGAGTGACTTATTTTAGACTTATTTCAGCCATAATGAAACAGATTCTTGAGGCCCACCTTCTACTTTATTTTCTACTAACTAACTTGGATTGTTGCCTCTTACATGTTTAGAATCTTTTGCAAAATCAGAGGTTTCACAACATATCTTTTTTCTTTAGATCATTTATGAAAATATTAAGCAAGGTGTATCCTAGAATTTACCTCTAAGACATCATAGCGTTTGTATTTATCCATCTAAAACTAAGTTTATCCCTACTCTAGTTTAGCATGAATTCTCAGGAACCCAAATGATTAAACATCTCGATATGAGAAATCCTTAATATCCTAATTGTTTGTCTCTGTCTGACCTAACTCCTTATTCTTAGCCAAATCTAGCCAATTTTGTGTTAGCTCTTTCTTCTCTTCCTCCTCCTCTCTCCCTCTTTCCCTATCCCCACAATTCTTTCTTCTTCTCTGCTTCCTTGCCATTTTTCTTTTTTTCCTATGTAACTTTGGACCTGAGCAGGAACTAACGTGTGACCTCTGCTCATCCCCCAGCCAGGACATCACAGGTGACATTTACTATTTCAACTTTGCCAACGGCCAGTCCACGTGGGACCACCCCTGTGATGAACACTATCGGAACTTGGTGATCCAAGAACGGGGCAAGCTGTCAACTCCTGGGGCCACTAAGAAGAAAGAAAAGAAAAAGAAAAAGGAAAAGAAAGACAAGAAGGATAAGGAGACCTCCAAGAGTCCCCTGGTGAGTTAGTGGGTGCCAGCTCCCAGGGAGACCAGGCCTGAAACCTGAGGGGGTATTGGGAACCTCTGGCTGTTTACAGCTGGGAGATTAAGACCAACAAGAATAATATAGTCATTTTGTGATAGTATATCATCTGAATTGTACCTGTTTTCTGGCAGATTTTCCTTTTAGCTTCTAGAACTCATGCTTACTATCACTAAGCAATTTCTGCCCTCTCCCTGTTGGGAGGCATATGTAACATAATAAGGTTAGTGAGCAAGTGCCTGACTGGGGACAGGGTTTGCAGTGGTCCGAGAACTGATGCCGTCTGCCTCTGTGGAGAGTCGGGTCACAGGGAGCAGTTGGCGGAGGCCAGAGAGCCTAGAGGAGCGTATGCCTCCCCTTTCCTTTCGAAGCCAAGCCTGCCCCGAGTGGATTCATCATGTGTTTCAGTGGTGCGAATTCCTGGATGTCTGATGGGCCATAATTCGGTTGTCAGAACATCAGTGCCTTCAAGATCCAAAAAGAGAAGTTTGAGGCTTTTTTATCTGCTCCCGAGGGTGGTCTTTGCTGCCGGTGTCCTTGGTTCGTGGCGGAAACCGACGTTTGAGTGCAATGCCCTCACCTTGTTCCCCAAGCAGCTTTTTCACTCGAGAGTTGAAGGTGCTCTTTCCCATTGTTGTTTTGTGTCCCTCCTCCAGGTGAGAGGCCGGTGGGCCACGTTGAGGAAAGGGAGGGGCTTGGGAACCCGGTTCAGCCTGGTGGGAAGCCCTGGGAATACCTTCTCAATCCTCTCAATGGTCGAGTTGATTTGCTCTCTTATTTATGGTCTTTATTTCCCACCGGTGCCTGGTGCTTACTTCTCAGCAAAAATTCCTCCATTTGCCTTCCTTCCCAAGGTGTCAGTTCTGATGTTGGATGGTTGCTGATAAATTTATCCTTTTTATCATTTTCAAGCTCTACCGATAGGCCTCCCCCGTGTCCCCACCCCCACCCCATATTACTAGTCATGGTTCTAAGAAATAAGATAGCAAACCCATTTCTTCTGGTGGAGAAAAGAGGACAAGTCATTTCCAAAGAGGTTGAATTTTCTAATGGCATGTATTTGCAAGGTAGAAGATGGATAATGGACTTTTCACTAATCCCAGACTATTTTAGTTTCTTTTTTTTGGTCATGAGGCATGTGGGATCTTAGTTCCTCTGACCAGGAATGGAACCCACTGTCCTTGCACTGAAAGTGTGGAGTCTTAACCACTGGACCACTGGGGAATTCCTGCCGGGGCCTATTTTAGATGACAGTTGGCATCTGGGTAGTCTCTTGACGTGACTGCAGGTGAGAGAGGGAATGAAGTGAGGATTCTGTGTTGGAGAGTTGGGTGATAGACCTAGTTCTGGGTATTTGACTGAGTTCCTGGAGCTCCCTGTTACAAAGGATTCCTCCTGTGGTTCAGGATCTTAGGGCAGGTGGACAGGCCTGGGCTGTCAGTCTGGATCTTAGAGCTCAGGACAGGTGCCTGAAAGCTGAGTTTGTTTGGGGGCAGACCTGACCAGGTGGGTGATCTGGGCTCAGCTAGTTTGGGTTCCCTGGAGGAGAGGTAGGTGATCTTTTAGGAATTTTTCTTTCTTTCTTTCTTCATGGCTGCACTAGGTCTTCGTTGCTGCATGTGGGCATTCTCGGGGGCTCCTCTTCTCTTCGTCACAGTGTATAAGCTTCTCGCTGTGGTGGCGTCTCTTGTTGTGGCGTGCAGGCTCAGTAGTTGGCGACGTCCGGGCTTAGTTGCTCTGCGCCATGTGGGAACTTCCTGGACCAGGGATTGAACCCACGTCCCCTACATTGGCAGGCGGTTTCTTAACCACTGGACCATCAGGGAAGTCCCTGGGGACTTTTTTATTTTTTTGTAACCCCAAGATTCCCTGGCTGTGTGGACCTCTCTTGAGCAGCACCGGCTCATTTGGTAGAAGACCTAGTCTGAGTGTTCAAGGCTCAGCTCGCTGCTCATGTTTCCCCTCTTCCCTCCCTTCTTAGATTATTTCTGATAGTCCTTGATAAGAATGGTGGATTTTTATGAAATTAACCAGTCACAGATTTGAGAGCTTGATGGTCTCTCCAGGATAACCTAGTTGGAGATTTTCAGACTTTTTGTTAGTAGTGACGCCATCTTCACATCAGTTCTTCTGTGGAAGACCAGTGTCTATAAAGAAGCGGAGCTGCTCTGGTTGAACCTGGGAATGGGGGTCTGGGCGATGCTCCTTCCCCACGACATACCCACTACGGTGGCCCCAAGGTGCCATGGGGAGCAAGGGTCCTGAGCCCATGGATCTAGTCAAGTCTCTTTGTAGATGAGGAAAGTAGAACCTAGAAAACAACAAAGCCCAAGGGAGTTTTTAGCTTTTCTTCCCTCTTTGGTTTCTGTTTTCACTCTGAATGGAGGGTGGGTTTCTGCTAAGGGTTTGCCAGCAGCTCCGGTAGCCAGCAGAAGTCAGCAGCGCTTTGTCTTCGTTTTCTCTGCCTGTTTACATACCCGTCTAGGAAACACAGCCTGAGCAGGGCCTTCTGCCTTCTTCCTCCTTTCTCCGTGGCCCATCCCCTCCCCCAGCGCCTGGCCCGGCTGATCTGGACCTAGACCGAGAGATGCAGGCTAGAACTGAGGGCTCCTTTAAGAAAGGGAAGAGCCCGTGTGTGCTGGCTGACACCCCCAGGCCTCTCACGGGCTCTCTGCCCAGCAAGTTGCAGCCGCTCTTCAAAGGCCAAGCTTCCCGAACCCACCAGATCTTTGCCGACGTGGAGAAAATCTTAGGCAGGGCCCCAGCCCACTGCAGGACAGAATTAGGTGACCAGCAGGGTCTGGAGAAACCCCAGCCGCTGACAGAGAAAATCTACGTGGGGTTTTCAGACCCTGAAATAGAAGAGCTGGAGATGAGGAGCAGACAGCTGAAACCTGGCGCTCTGGGCCCTGACGACACCGGGCCCTTCCAGAACAGGCAGGATGCATTAGAGAGCAACACACAGGCCTCTGTCCATGCGAAGCTTTTGGAGACCCTCAAGGGCCCGCAGCTGAGAAGGGAGGAGCACAGGCATGACGTGGCCAAACGGAGCTCCACTGGCCCTGGGGGGGACAAAGGCCAGAGCCCCATTCCCTCACCATCCCCCGAGGAGGCCCCCTTGCTGTCCCCTTGTTCTTCTGACCCCATGCTGCTCACCAGGAAGAGCAAGTTGTTCTTGTTAGACAGCAACCCAGCTGAAGACCAGAGCTGGCAGAGCGTTTCTGGGGAAGCGGGGAGCGTGGGCAGAGGCAGGAGTAGAAGAGAGCCCCCAGGACTGTGGATGGGGCAGGTCTCCAAGCTTGTCCACAGGGACGCCTCCAGGGGTGGCAAGGAAACCGAGCCTGATGACCCTGAGGCTCCAGGGGCCTCAGCTGGAGGTCCACCCCAGGGGCTGTTGCTAATACCCCCTGATACCCTAGCCTCAGAACCGGTCCAGAGTGCCCCTGCAGGGAGTGCTCCTGGGGGGCCTCCTGCCACTGAGGAGAACCCATCCCCAGGCTCTCCAGAGCCCCCCCAAGAGGACAGGAGGCCGAGCGGGTGTGAGCCCGACTTGGAGAGCAGCAGCAGCCTGGCCTCTCGCCTTGGCTCGGAAGTCCTGGGGGAGGTGACCAACTTCCTGTGGGACCTGCAGAGCCCACGGGGGTCTGAGTGGGGCGTGGGTGAGTCAGGCCCCTGTCCCATAGAGCAGCACCCCAGCGCCTTCTTGGCGCCCCAGCTGCTCCCCATGCAGAGCTCTGCTGAGGAGCAGTCAGAGAGCGAAGACTACTCTGAGGACCAGAGGTTCTACCAGCACATCCTGCAGATGGTCAAGATCTCCCGGCGGCTGGAGGGCCTGGGGCTGCCCGAGAGCACTCAGGAGATGCCAGGCCAAGATCTGGCCAGCATGATCTGCTGCCTGGCTGCCGAGTCTTCCAGGCTGTCTGGCGAGGCTGAGCACGAGGCCATCAGAGCCACGGACTCTGGGCTTCTGCCTTGGGGGCCGGAGTCACGGGAGCGTCCTCCAGAAGTGGACGTTGCCCCAGCTGCGCAGGAGGTCTCTCATCTGCAGTCCGGCAGCAGCCCCCTCAGGCAGGGGCTGGTCGAGCTGAGTTCCAGCAAAGGGCTTGTGGCAGAGCCAGGCAAGATGCAGCTTCTCGACCAGGTAGGCGTCTCAGAGAGCATCGTGACCTTCAGGCCCAGTGAGTTTGGCAGGGAGGGAGCAGGTTGTGCTGACAGTCTGAACCCAGCCATCAGGTCAGCTTTCCTGTTGTCTGTCCTCCCTTGGTGACCAGGGAGCCCTTAGCCACCCGGGATGGCCATCCTGTGGGATGACATGCATTTCCTATTTCTTCTACCTCATCACCTACAAGATGGGGGCGGAGGGTGTCTGGACTTCCTTTCCCTTGATCTGACCATACTTCACGGGTGCTTTATGTGCTCTGAAGATGATCCGTTTTGAGGGTGAGTAAGGTGGCACAGATCATGGCGTTCCTGCACGACATAGGTACTGTTCCAGGCTTTGGACGCCTTCCGCATGAGCTGATAGTGTAGAGGGGTCCTCCCAAGAAGACACCCTGCCCTCAGCTTCTGAACTTAGCCCCTTCTCGGAATCACTCAGAATTAGTGAGTTGCCGTGCCGAGGGTCACAGAGACTCAGACACGACTGAAGTGACTTAGCACCGAGAGTTAGTACTGTCCTGTGGTATGATGTGCCCAGTTGCTTCCTCGTGTCCCGACTCTTGGCGATCCCATGGGCTGTAGCCCGCCAGACTCCTCTGTCTGTGGAATTTTCCTGGCAAGAATACTGGAGTGGGTTGCCATTCTCTACTCCTGACCCGGGGATCGAACTTGAGCTTCTCACATCTCCTGCACTGACAGGCAGGTTCTTTACTGCTAGCGCCACCTGAGAGGAGAGGCTGAAGCCCGGACTCTCTTCTGCTCTGTGGCTGCTTCTGCTCCTTCCTTTCCCAGGGTTTGCAGAACCATGTGAATAGCCTGTGTCATGCTTGCACAGACCACATCCTCCCCTAGTGGGATCTACCAAAGAGTGGGCTTGCCCTGTCATTCGGGGCCCTTTGTCCCTTTAAAGAATTGCCACCTTCTTCATTCAGAAGTCAAATAGGATCACAGACCATGTGATTTATCTGCATTCCCTGGCTGCTTTTGCTATTGCCCAGCTGTGGCTTTACCCAGTTGTTACCTCAGTTCCTAATTGCTGGCATGCCTGGGTTCTCCGTTAGCTCTAATAACCCCTGTAGCACTATAAACATCAGATAAGCTGCAGATTATCCTGCAAAGTTTTAATTAGCCCAATGGTGGCAAGTTTATCTGCTCTGAAGGACAATGCCATGCACAGCTCTTAGCCAGAGTTAATGGCCATCTATAGAAGCTGATCAGCTAGGAGCCAGGGATGTATGATTTCTCTACTAACTGCTGATGTGGTCAAGGCCTGGGAGAACAAAGCCCTGAGCGGGCCCATCTCCCTCCCTCAGGCCCCCAGCATGTTAGCAAATTAGCCATGTCAGGAGTCTGTAATTTTCCATCAATACAGTGTGGGAAGAATTTTGCTCACTGATCTGCTGGGTGGGCTAGGCGGCTGGGAGGAGCCGGCCAGGTTTGCTCAGAGTGCACCGCAGAGCAGCTCTCCCGGGCTCCTTTTTTGCCACAGCCAGTGTGAGATAGCGGCTTAGACACTGCCCTGCCTCTCATATCTACTCCTGTGGTTGCTGGCCCCGCGATTTGGGGCAGGCAGAGGTCTTGACCTCACCAATCTCCATTTGCTTTTGTGGGGACTGGGGCCTCAATGGTTCTGAGAGCAGAATGAGACAGGTGCTTTTACCTAGGAGCCCAGGACTCAGGCAATGTTGGCCAGTTTTATTATTTTCAGCTCCTTTTCTGCCTCGAGAAGGTACCCTGCAACAGGCTAGGTGACTGGGAATCTCTTTAGGTTGGCCAAAAAGTTTGTTTGGGCTTTTTTCCATAAGATGATACAGAAAAACCCAAATGAACTTTTAGCTAACCCAATACAAAGGCTTGGGGTTGAGGGGGTGGTGGGCAGTGGGCAGTCTCATGTCACCTTTCAGCTGAGAGTCTAACTCCCTTCTTGGGCAGAAACAGGTTGTGTTTGGAACCCACCCAATGGTCTGGCCTCAGGCCTGGCCGCAGGTAAGAAGACAGGCCACCTGAACCTCTCATCTTGACCCCCTCGGGTTCCCCTTTCTCTTTTCAGTCACTGTGGGATTAGGAATGGAATTTTTGTTTTATACACATTTTAACTTTGAGAAATGGATTTTGAGGAGCTCATTGTAAACTGTCACCAAAATGCTCTCCTGCCTCAGTTTCTGAGCCCAGACCATTGTAATGCGAATCTGTCATGATAGCAATGCCATAGCACTGGGGTAGCCCAGGCCACACAGATGCACTAGGGTAACCTGGACCACACACACATGCGCTGGGATAGCCCGCGCCACGCACTCATGCGCTGGGATAGCCTGCGCCATGCACACATGCACTGGGATAGCCCGCACCATGCACACATGCGCTGGGATAACTTGGGCCACGCACACATGCCCTGGGATAACCTGGACCACGCACACATGCCCTGGGATAGCCTGCACCACACACACATGTGCTGGGATAACCTGGACCATGCACACGTGCCCTGGGATAGCCCGTGCCACGCACACACGTGCCTGGAGTAGCCCGGACCACACACACATGCACTGGGGTCGTCTGGGCCATGCACGCATGCTTCTTACATTCAGTATCTCATTTGAACTTCTCAGCAGACCTTAAGTAGCTTGCACATATCATCTCTGACTTGCAGATGAGTAAACCGAGAATCCAAGATTCTGTGAGTGGCCCAAGTCTCACAAATTCTGCCGTCTCTCTGCTGTCTCTCCCCAGTCCTCACCTGCATGAAGCCCGCCATCCTGAGAACACGAAAGAGGAGCGGCCGCTGTAGTCCTCGGCTGAGCTCTCTACAGCCCCTTCGCTCCTCAGTGGAGAGCAGAAAGAGAGTTCTTCTGTTGCTCACATGTCTTTTTTCTTTTACTTTCTTTGGCCATGCAGTATGGCATGTGGGACCTTAGTTTCCCAAGCAGGAATTGAACCCATGCCACCTGCAGTAGAAGCATGGGGCCCTAACCACTGGACCGCCAGGGAATTACCCTCATGGGTGTTTTTCAGAGTGAATATTTATTTTAATCAAAGTAATACATGCCCATATTAGACAATGCCAAGACAAGCCAAAAGGTGCAGAACAAAATATAGCAGTTCTCCAGTGTGGGTACCCCTCCTACCTCTACCACGGCAATGCCTTTATTCTGGTGTCTGCTTCCATATTGTAAATAACATGCTTAGGCTGCTTTTTCTTGATTCATCAGTTTTCAGCTTTATGTATTGAGTCTTCTCATGCTGGGAGATGAGGCTTTTGTCTCTGCTCCTCACCCCCTCCCCAGCTTCCTCTGTGGCTTCAGGAGGGAGAGCAGGGCCCTCTGCAGCTTCTCCAGACGTGAAAGAGCCGTCTGCTGGGAGATAGCAGCAGAGTTACGAGAATCGGGAAACAAGCCCATGATTCTCACATGGTTAGCACAGTGCCGACTTCTGGATGTTGTGTTTCATTAGCAGCCTCTGAACGGAGGTGGTTTAAATTTGAGCGGGCAGGATTTAGATGTTTTATTTTTATATCCGTCTCCACACTCTTAGAGCCCTGTGGTTGCTTGGGTTTCTAACAGGATATTTTCTGTTGCCCAGGCCGTGGGTACCTCGTTAGCCCCCCTCCATGTTCCTCTCGGGGGCCTGGCCCCGTTAAGGGGCCTGGTGGACGCCCCGCCCTCTGCTCTTCGTGGACCTCAGAGTGTGAGCCTGGGGAGCTCAGTGGAGTATGGTCAGCTCGGAGAACACTTACTGGTAAATGCTTTTTTTCTTGTATACAGTATAGTTAGTTGCCGTGGGGCCTCTGTGTTCCATGCTAGGAGCTGTGGCCCATGGAGAAATACAGGGCACAGGCTGATTCCTCAACACACATTATATGGTGTGGAAGAAGGTGAGTCACACCTGGGTGATGCCGAACGTGGGTGGGCTGTGGAGGATGGTCAGAGAGACTCAGGGCTCATTTCCCGGTCCCTGTGATCAGGGCAGTAGGAGTTGGACAGGGAGGGACCACTGTGAGCTGGAGCTGCTGGGTCAGCTTCTCGAATATGGTGGCCTCGCTGTAGGCGCTATCTTGACAGAGAGAGGCGAACTTATGCTGAGGGTCTTCCTACTAAGTGCCTTGATCTTCCTTCTTTTTGGAGCCGGCACAGGGTCTCAAGCCTTCTGCTTGTACAAAAGGTCTCCTGGGCTCCATCCATGAGGACAAGAATGCTCTCAGCCTCTTGGCTTTAGGGCAGGAGACCAACGAGGAGGATGAGGCAGACAGTGACAACCAGGTAAGAATGAATCCTTTTCTTGGCCTGAGAATCCTCTGGGCCATTAAAAAAACAATTTTTTTTTAAAAAATTGTGGTCAAATATATACACCATGAAAGTTACCATTTTAACCAGTTTTAAGTGTACAATTCAATGGCCTTAAATACCTTCACAGTGTTATACAGTCTTCATCACCATCTGTCTCCAAAGCTTGTTAATAATCCCAGAGACTCTCTGTACCCATTAAACAATAACTCTGTATCCTCCCCTCTCCCCAGTCCCTGGTCTATTCTCTGTCTCTGTGAATTTGCCTGTTCTAGATATTTTATATACGTGGAATCATACTGTCTTTGTCCTCTTGTGTGTCTGGCTTCTTTCATGTAGCATAGTGTTTTGTAGCACGTGTGACTGGATAGTATTTCATTGTATGAAATTACCACATTCCATTCAGTTGTTCATCTGTTGGTGGGTACTTGAGCTGTTTTCACCTTCTGGTTTAATCTCTGTGCTACTTTGAATATAAGTGAAAGCGGTTTTCCAGCCCACAGCTTCATTGTTTGCCCAGTCTGTATCCCTGCTGGGTCTGACCCAGCTCTTGGACCTGTGAGGAGCTTCTGGACCTGCACCCGGGGCTGACCAGTTTGCTTGCCATCATTTTCATTTTCAGAGTGTTCGCAGCTCAAGTGAGCTTCTTAGGAACCTGCACCTGGACATCGGGGCGCTGGGGGGTGACTTTGAGTATGAGGTAAGAGCCTGAAGCACCTGCAGACAGTTGTCTCAGCCTGGCAGGTTCCCCCCTTCCTTCCTGAGCCTTTCTTCTCAGGGATACGTATTTGGAAAGAGAACTCTTTTGTCCCAGTCCTGTCCACATGGGGTTCCTGGGGTTGGTGGAAGTACAAGCCGGGAAAGGAATTCATCCATTCACTCATTTATCAAATAACCGCCATTTATCAACTCCTTCTGTGTGAGGCACCTCACTCTCAGCCGTATAAGCCTCAGTTAGCTGTGATTCCCGCCCTCGAAGAGTTTATAATCTCATAAAAGAGGGACCCCTGTAATCAGAACACAAGAGTAGAATGCAGGGAGGCTGTCCAGACAGTAAACCGCAGTGCTGTGGGTGGGGGGCGGGCAGAATCCGGGGGTGTCCCGTCTGTTTGGGAAGGCTTCAGTGAGAATCTGACACCTGGGGTGAGCCAGGAAGAACGGTAGCATGACTGCATGTGCAGAGGCGAGCGGTGAGGGAGAGAGCCAGCTGCAGGGTACTGAATGGGCAGAGGCAGGAGGGGAGGACGAGGGCCAGTCCTTCACCTGGAGCTCGGGCACGTGTGGGAGAGGATTGGAGGTGGGGCTGTGGAGGCGGGTTGGGCTGGGTCATGGAAGACCTGAGTGCTGACTGAGAAGTTGGGACTGAATTACACAGGTGTTGAGAGCCATCGGAGGGTGTGAATGAAAATGTAATGCCATCCAGGTTCTTTTTCTTTTTTTTAATTAAAAATTTTTTTTTTTTTGCTGTGTTGGGTCTTAGTTGTGGCACTCAGGATCTTCGATCTTCATTGTGGCATGCAGGCTCTTTAGTTTCAGCACATGGGATGTAATTCCCAACCAGGGATCAAACTCGGTCTCCCTGAATTGGGAATGCAGAGTCTTAGCCACTGGACAGCCAGGAAAGTCCCGCCATCCAGATTCTTAACATCTGTTGAGTGCTGGCTGTGGGACAGCCATGTGCTGGACCCTGTGGGCGGTCCGAACACTGGTAAGGTGTGGCCCAGGGTGGCCTCCAGGAGTGTGCGGTCAGAGAGGAAGGTTGCTGGGTCCTCTGGTGAGCTTTCAGTATATGTTGAATAAATGAATATTTAGGAAGTTTTAAAGCAGGGAGGGTGTATAAAGAGCTCTAGCACTGCTACACTGTTCAGAATTTATTTATTTATTTGGTTGCACCAGGTCTTAGTTGTGGCACATGGAATCTTTTAGTTGAGGCATGCAGAATCTAGTTCCCTGACCAGAGATTGAATGGGGGCCCCTGCATTGGGAGAGCAGAGTCTTAGCCACCAGACCATCAGGGAAGTCCTTAGAGGGGAGAGAAATTACCTGCTGAGAGATCAGGGAGAACTTGGAAGAGATGGCATTTGACCTGGATCTTGAAGAGAAATAGTTAAGTTTTAGACGTGGGAGTGGAAGGGATGTTTTAGGCAAGTGAACAGCTTGAACAAAGACACAAGGCTTGGGAACCACAGAATGTGGATGGGAGCAGCTTCCAGACTGTGCCCCCGGTAGTTGTGTTGCTTCTCATCTCTTTCCCCGGTCTGTCCTCCACTCCCACGAGAATGTTCTTTAAAACGAACAGACAGAACCGAAAACTCATCAGGTCATTGTAATAGCTAAAACCTCCAATGCATTTTTCTACTGAAAAAGGCACATTGCCTACTGTTTGTTCTTGGCCTAGTGTCTAATTTAGTAATTTTTTGACAATTAAGCTTTCTCTAAGGGTGCCCAAAGTATTCAAACAACCAATACATCATGAAGTCAGCAACTCAGATTTCTCCAAACATTGAGATATCGATTGCCAGGTCAGTTAAACTTTCCATAAAGTAGAAAATTCTCTTAAAGACTTTAAACACTTTCAAATGAAGAGATCACTCACATTTATTAGAATACTCATAAAACTGACCAATGAAACATGGATTTCACTGTTTCCTTATTATCTTATTACCTTATTATCTTCTATTATTATATCCTTATCCCTTTCCACGTCCTTATTGTTTCTGACTTTTGCTTCATGGTCTTCAGCTCTCTTCGAGAGCCAGGGGAACATCCCAGGCTGGCTGAGGTTGAGGACGCTTGCTGACCCCTGAGGTGCTGTTTAGTCTCTCAGTTGTGTTTGACTCTTTGCCCCCATGGACTGCAGCTTGCCAGGCTTCACTGTCCTTCACCATCTTCCGGAGGTTGCTCAAGCTCACATCCTGAGATGTAGGTGGGCTTTTTCAGCTGATCCCACTCTAGCCGTTAGGTGGGTCCCATTTTATACTTAGGCTGTCTAGTTTTATTTTTTAAAGTTACTTTTGGCTGTGCTGGGTCTTCTTTGCAGTGTGCAGGGGTTTCTTTAGTTGTGGCCTGCAGGCTTATAGTTGCCCCACACATGTGGGATCTTAGTTCCCCAACCAGGATTCGAACCCATGTCCCCTGCATTGGAAGGCAGATTCTTAACCCCTGGGCCACCTGAGGAGTCCCTGAGCTGTCTCTGTTGCCTCAGAAACTGTCTCCGTTTTTGGCTCTGCTCAATCATGTATGCTTTGATTGTGACTTTGACACTTTCTGTCACATGTGACACTTTTTTCTGAGTGTCATCAACCTAATTTGGGTATACTTTAAACTCTTCCTTTCAAGTGGGGCATGGTCTGTTGGCATTAAATCCATAGCCTTCTGTCTCTTTGGTGCTTTTGAAATGATAACTTTATTTGTTATCATCTGCCATTAAGATGTTACGATGCTGTTGGAATCAGTAGCTCAGGTTCTGAGCCTGGAAGGATGACCATGAGTAGGAATAGGGTGTCAGGAGGACTCAACTGGCTTTTGGAGAAAGGGCAGTCTCCCCAAGACTGAGCAAACTGAGAGTAAAGATTCTGGCCTGTTCATGTCTGTGTGTCCATCACCTGGCTTGCTGTGGAACTTAGGAAGTGCATGGGTATATTTTGCTGAGCAGTTGAGAGGATGAAGGGCTTCCCTGGAAGCTGAACTGGCGAAGAATCCCCTGCAATGCAGGATACCCCAGTTCGATCCTGGGGTTGGGAAGATCCACTGGAGAAGGGATAGGCTACCCACTCCAGTATTCTTGGGCTTCCCTGGGGGCTTAGATGGTAAAGAATCCACCTGCAGTGCAGAAGACTTGGGTTTGATCCCTGGGTTAGGAAGATCCCTTGGAGAAGGAAATGGCTACTCACTCCAGTATTCTGGCCTGGAGAATTCCATGGACAGAGGAGCCTTGTGGCTGAGTCCACGGGGTCGCAAAGAGTCGGACACAACTGAGTGACTTTCACTTTCTCTTGAGAGGATGGATAGGTGAGTGAGTGAGTGAGCCACGCTGGGACTGGAGGATATGCTGTCAGGTCTCATTGTGCTTCTTTCTTTCCTGGGTTTTCCCAGGTCCTAACTAGAGTAGATACTTGGTCCCTGCTTCAGCTGGTGAATTGAAAATCCCCATATGGACCAATCATAATGTACTATGACTTGGAAGAGTTTATTTTTACTTTATAATTGATTATAAATGTCAACAAAAAAAGGGATTTTCTTCTTTGACATGTCCTGGATTTTCAGACACTTCCCTTCTGATCTTTATGTGTTTCTTTGAAGGAGTGGGAGTTTTTAAGCGCATTTTTTTATAACCTCTTTAATATAAATAGGCAACTCAGTGTGATGGGGGGAAAATGTCTGGAGTGGGAGGTGTTAAATACACTCCCCACCTCTGTCTCTAGCGTCCCAGCAGATTTCGTTCTTTTTGCCACATGGAGTGTTGGAGTCCTGTGTTCTAGCCTCAGGCAGGAACTGGGGCTTTTTGTGGTGGGGAAGGTTCATGTTGGGGATGAATGGGAGTTTCAGGACAGACAAGCTGTCTCTGATTGCCATACCCTTTAAAATGGCTTTTGTCCCAGTTTATTGGTAGGGCTTAGATGGCAAAGGATCTGCCTGCAGTGCAGGAGACTCAGGTTTGATCCCTGGGTCAGGAAGATCCCGTGGAGAATGAAATGGCAGCCCACTGCAGTATTCTTACCTGGAGAATCCCACGGACAGAGGAGCTGGGCAGGCTACGCTCCATGGGGTTGCAAAGAGTCAGACACGACTTAGTGACTGAACAGCAGTAGTGTAGACCTTGGGTCCTCTGAACTGCCTACCTCTTCCGGCTCTCTGGCATCTCGGGCTGCCCAAAATGGAGAGCTGATCCTATGGTTTGTTCTACCCTGTCTCGCTGTGAACAGTCACTTTGCTCATGATTCCATGAGAGGGCAGTAGGATGGCAAGAATGCCTCTCTCTCTCCTTCCCCCTCCTCTCCTGCCTTCAGCTTAAACCCATTTCTAGTCTATTACAGAATCAAAAGCACTAGTTTCCTGGAACAGACACTAAGAATGGAAGGGAGTGAAAGAGGGAAGGCTGAAGGGTAGGCGAGCAGGCAGCAGGTGGCCTTGTGGAGCTGGTGAAAAGCCCATCAGCAGATCAAAGGGGAGGGAGGGAGCTACGCTTAGAAATAACAGGATGATGTCAGTGTGATTGGAAAGTGCTAACCACATCACCAGGGAGCAATGCAAAGAGCTGAGACGGACTGGGTGGGAATGAGACGTGGGAAAGAAACCAGACTGACGTTTGGCTTGGTGGGGGTCTCCCCAGCACGGGATCAGTGCAAGGACATTGTGTTCAGCTCCCCCGTTCCCCACCCCTGAGCCCCCGTGTGGATCGTAGGGCCCCCTGCCTTTGTGTTCTGGGCCACAGGAGTGGGACTGCGGCATGGAAGACCTCAGAGCTTTTGGGGGGTATGTTCAATATTCATGAACCGATTCTTATAGGCACTCTCCTGCACCCTCCCCCACCCCCTTTCATGCAGATGGCAAGATCTTTTTGGAATAAACAGCAGGAATGTGCCTTGAGACACTCAAGGACCAGGGGCTGTGACAGGAGGAGACAGAAGGAGCATGAGCATGGTTGAGCTGGAAGTAGGGCTGTGCTGGAGGTGTATTCCTATTCTCTCCCGGGTACCCCGTAGGACGCTGGTGCAGGGGGCCATGTACAGGGGCCTGGGCGTGTGTCCTGGGTGGGGGCCTCAGGCCGTGAGCCCCGAGATAGGATGAGGAGCAGCGGTGGAGAGGAGAATGGAGTCGGCTGGGTTTTCCAGACACTTAGCTCCCGTTCATCCATTTGTGGATAATACACAACAGATACCTCTGCCTCTACTGTCTTACTCCGCAAGATGTCCCTCTGCCCGCCCTGTCATTGCAGTTAGTTGACGTGGGCACGGGGAATGCAAGTTCATTTATTTTAATGTTAGCCATGTTTTAATATTTTACTATTTAGATAGACAGAATAGGTTCAGCTCTGTCATGGAACACTCTTCTTTTGAAGGCTTGAGAGTGGCATAGCCTGGGCCTGACATTCTTGCCGTCTGGCCGTATTCTCTCATGTGTAAGAATGGGAATCTCCATGTGGATCTGGTGTCCTCTGATTTTAGATAGCATACTTGTTTTTCCATCATCCTAAATATCCATAGTTGACTTTTGTTTAGCTATTTTCCATCTCATAACCACCATGACAAATATAATATGATCTCTCTGTAGCTTTGTAAAGTAGATATCACTTTACAGGGTAGGAACTCCTCTCTCTGTGTTGATTCACTTAATCATTTTTAAAAATCGAGTCCCAAACATTGACTGAGCATCTTGTATGTGCCAGAAGGCACTGAGGTTAATAGGGAGCTGATATGGTGGGGGTGACAGACAAGGAAGTCAGCCTTTATAATACAGTAGTGGTTGTGCAAAAGGATGGGGCAGGCTGATTTCAGGAAGGCTTCCTGGAAGAGGTGATGCTGTCAGGACCAGTGGGAGCTTGTCAGGGTAGATTCTGTCTGTGTATGTTAAGGATACGCACAGCAGAGCAGGGAAATAGCGTGATGTTTGTTCGCAGGCAGGATGTGTGTGACTGGAGATGACCTCAGAGGAACAGGCAGGGCTGGGTGAGAAGGGCTGTGAGCCGTGCGAGGAGATGTGAACTTTCGGTCCGATACCCTCTCTGTCCTCCAGTCAGAGGTCTGTTGCCTGTCTTTAATCAGGAGATGAGCATGGCCAGGGCGGATTGGTCCTGCTCACTGAGTCAGACACCTTTCACTCCCCACAAGACACCCCCACATTCTTCTTCTCCGTAAGATTTTTCATGAATTTTTGTTGGATTATAGTTGCTTTGCGATGTTGTGTTCGTTTCCACCATACGGCAAAGTGAATCAGCTCTGTGTTTACATGGGTTCCCTCCCTCTGGATTTGCGTCCCATTCAGGTCCCTGAGAGCCCCAAGCTGTGCTGGGCGGCATGCTGCGGTTCCGTGTGTTGTACGGCAGGTTCTCGTTAGTTACCTGGTTTTTACGTAGTATCAACAGAATATATATGTCAGTCTCAACCCCCACTCCCCCCTTGGTATCCATACATTTGTTCTCTGTGTCTGCCTCTCTTTCTGCTTTGCAAATAAGATTACTTATACCCTTTTTCTAGATTCTACATATATGCGTTAATATACACTATTCGTTTTTCTCTTTCTGACTTACTTTACTCTGTATAACAGTCTCTGGGTCCATCCATGTCTCTGCAAATGGCGCAGTTTCATTCCTTTTTATGGCTGAGTAATAAAGAGTCCGTTGTATACATGTGCCATATCTTCTTTACCCACATCCTCTGTGAGCCCCCGACCAGTCACTGCGTGCTGGCCACTGCTGAGAGCCTGCCGCTGTGGGGACACGGAGGTGAGCAGGCCTGGCCTTGCCCTGGAGAGGCCTCTCAAAGGAGGGAGGAGCTGACTGTGCGGATTTCCTCTACGCTGCAGTTGGGGTGTCGGGAGGGTGGGCAGCACTGGAGGGCACTGTGCTTTGGTGCTGCCAGGGTGTGAGGGAAGCCCACCCCTTCTCTGTTCAGCCTCCGCTTCCCTCCCTGGGCGCAGGCTGGGGGCTGATGACAGCATCATCACTGTGTCCCATATCCTTTGCTTCCGGCAGTCAAGGCTCATAGCCAGGGCCACCGGGGATGTTTCACTTTTCTCCAGACCCAGCTGAATTCCTTGAGGGCAGGATCGGTCTTCATATTTGGGTCCCCACGGCAGGGTTGAGAAGGTGCTCAGTGACTGAACATGTGGGCCTCATCATAGAACATGAGGTATCAGGAGCTCCCTGGTGGTCTAGTGGCTAAGACTCCATGTGTTCCCAATGCAGGGGGCATGGGTTCCTTCCCTGGTCAGGGAACTAAGATCCCACTTGCCCAGCTAAGAGTTTACATGCTGCAATTAAAAAAAATTGAAAAAGATCTTGCATGCCACAATGAAGATCAGAGATCCTGCCTGCCACATAAGATTGGTACAGCCAAATAAGCACACGAAAAAATGAGTTAGCATTTATGGAGCACTTGCAGTGTCCAGGTACAGTTCTCTGCTCTTTACTCACTTAATGAGCGTTAACTCATTTAATCTTCCCAACAACCCTATGAGATAGGCTTTATGATACTCCTCATTTTAGGGGAAGAAACTGAGGCACAGAAAATTTAGTTTGCACGAGGTCCCGGAAGCATGGAGCCAAGATTTGAAACCTGGGTGTTCTGTCTCTGAAGCCGGGCTCTGAAAGCACCCTGCTTCTTCTCTCTCTTAACCATCCTTGGAAAGTTTGAGTGGGCTTGTTGGTCGACTGCCAGACTCACAGTGGGTGGTCACAGGTTTGGGTTCAGTGGATCCTTTTACAGACAGACGGCATGGGTGAATGCTGGATTTGGGGCTTCTCCTTGGCCCTCTGGACTCTGGTCATCGGGCTTCTTGTTGGAGTCTCCAGAGTTGGGGATCAGGAGGTCTCAAAAGTCGCTGTTCACACTGATGGCTCAAGTGTCAGGCCAGATGTTTTCTGGGAGAAGGTCTTCTTTGCCTGAGCCCAGAAGAGATCGCTGGCTGTGTTTCCAAGGGCGGGGGTTCCTTTTCTTCTTGTGGCAGCTCTAAACGTTTTCCTAGGTCTCTAGGTCTCTCCCATGGGGTTTGTGAGTGAGAAGCAGGGTAGGCAGCTGTAGAGGGGTGCTGCTCCCGTGTCCTTTGAAGAGACCCCCGCAGAGGGGCCCTTGGTGGATTGACGGCCTGCAGCTCCTGAACCATTGATCTGCCAAGGCTCGGCTTGTTGAAGGAGCTGCTGGTGGTGCAGCAGGCCCCAGAGCAGGGCCATTTCTGCCTGATGACTGCGGGACTCTCCCCAGGCCTGGAGGCCCTCTCAGACTCGGGCCCCCGCCTTCCCTTTCTCCTGCCCCAGATCACAGACCTGTGTTCCCAGGCCTCTCCCCACCTCCCGTGCCCTCTGTGGGCATCTCCCTCGTCAGTCTCCTACCCTCACCCCATCTAGCACCTCGTGCCCACAACACTCACTGGACAGTCCGACAGAGGAGCCTGGCCCCTGGGCTGCTTGTGTAGCCTCCTGGTGGGGGTGGGTGGGTGCTTTAGGGAGAGAGCTACCCTTGTGGCTATGGAGGAGGGGCACCCTCTCGATGTTTCTTCCCTGCTGCCTTTTATTTATTTATTCATTTTCCTGCCGCCTTTTAAAAATGAAAAACAGGTTCAGGACCTTTCTCTCGTGTGGTTCTCTGTCCTCATTATCAGAAACAAACATTGACTTCTGAGCCTGCGGTCTTACAGTTTGGCCAGTGGGACTGGAACAAGACAGATTTATTACTTGAGGATGTGATGGTTGGTTGCAGAGTCAGGCACTGTCCAGGGCACTGGATTCCAAGCCCTTCAGTGGACGGGCGTCAGGTTGGGTATATCCAGGTCAACATGAAGTTCAGAGTCAGTGGATCTGGGCTGGAGCCAGGAGTCTGTTTTTAAAAGCTTTTCAGGTATGGGATAACCATTGGTTTCAGAACTGCACGCATCAAGGAACAATGGCAGTTCTGTCTTATCAAGTCTCCAAACTCCTTGCATTAATTCCTGATGTCTTCCCTTCTGACGCGGTTGGCTGCTCCCTAGGAGTCTCCAAGAGCAAGCCAGCCAGAGGAGAAGGACGTTTCTCTTGATTCTGATATTGCTGGCCCCCTTACTTCTGGCAAGCCCTTCAGCCAAGGTGCAGACAGCAGCCTGAGCAGTGCTGATGGCGAAGAGCAACAGCGAAGAGAGGCAAGTTGGTTCCCAGAAAAAGGAAAGAATGAGAAGAATGATCCTGGGACATCCAGAAGTGTGGTGGACGCTGGAGGTGATCAGCCTGCCAACGCCACTAAAAAAGAGGCACCAGAGGACCTAGTGGATGCAGGAGAGGAGGGTTCCAGGAAGGAAGAGGCAGCTGAGGAGCCAAAGAAGGAGGCCTCTGTCCCGAAAGAGAGCAGATCAGAGGCCAGTGAAGTAAGTCACTAGGTCCCTCGGGCAGTTGCTGGCTCCAGCCCTCTCTGCTCTCTTGAGCCCGGAGCACGTTTCCCTCTTTTCATCTTTATTACTGAGTCAGAAGCTTCATTTGCAGACCCTGCAATGGGCTGTCAGCATCAGCCAGAACCCTTAATTGTGACAAATATACCAGACCCAGCAGGCAGTAAAATCCTGAATGAAACTCCATACCTGCTGGCACTAGAAATTCAGAGCAGACATTTGCTTTTCCACGGGCACCCTCCTGGGATAGTCATGCTCTTCTGGGCTCCCACTTACTTCCTCTCGCCACTTCCTACCTCCCCCTCCTACTTCTTGACATCAGTTTTGGGTTATTCCTGGTTGCATCCTATGTTCCTATAAAGAGAGGAAGCATTGAGAGAGGTGGGGGGAGGCACATTTGGGAGTGTCCTGCCCCAGCACTGGTCAGTCAGGTTACAGGAAGTCTTGCTTGGCAAGATGGTCCAGTGACCCGGATGGACAGATGTAGGAGCCAGGGGCGAGAGCATTTGGCGTCTTCATTTTCCAGCCCTCAGTCCTGCTCCTCCTCCAGGGGGATGGTGAGGGAATTCATTAAAGAGCTTTTCACTGCTTCCTGGAAAAGATGCTCTCGTTATGTTTTTCTAGGAGAACATCAAACTTCTCCACTGCTGACTTTCTAACCACCTCCCCCTCCGCTTCGCTTGGCTGTCCCTCCACGTGCAGAGTGTTGCCCGTGGGCTGCCCAGCCTGAGTGGGCTGGGGGCTGGGAATGGGAGGGTCTACAGGCTTCTTTCAGGTTTTCCAGAGGAGGTGGATTTCGGTTTGGGTTCAGCCCTGTGTGGGCGCCATGGAGACTGATAACGACCCTCTGTCTTCTGCTCCGGTGACTTCTCTGTGTCTTTCTCCCCAGGAGTCGGAGATCAGTGAACACGTGAAGCAGCTACAGCTCTCAGACTCCGCTGCTTCTAACCCCAGGTCTTTCCTTGGCTTGGTGAGTGTCAGTCTGAGATGGGGGTGGGGGGGGTGTCGTGGGCAGCAGAGTAGTGATAAAGAGCATGGCTATGCAGGTTACTGTGGTTAAATAACTTTGCCAAGCATCTCACAGCTTGTAAGTGGGGAAGTTAGGGTTCAAACTTGGGTCCTGTCTAACTCTGTTTCCTCAGCTCGCCCTACCAAGGATAGCACTACCTACTTTTTAGGTTTCTTGTGAGAAGAAAGTGGGGTAAAGCGTATATACATCATTAGCATATGACTATTAAACAAGCATAGCTGTTATTACTACTACTACTCCTTGAACTGCCTGTGAGATCATATGAGATCATGGCTCTGGGCTCTTAACAAGAGCATTGTATGAGTGTAAGAGAGTAGAGACTGTGTGTGTATGTGTTTATGGGATCACTGAACTGTGGCAAGGAAGGACCAGTCCTCAGGCTCTGAACAAGAAGTGTGTTGTGGTGTGGTCATTTCCAAAGTGAAGACTGCTCTGGAATGCCTGCATCCATGGTGTCTTTGTTCCAGCTCTTCCACTTTTTGCTGAGCTTCCCGAATCCTGGCTTCACTTGCCGGGTTTGTATCTAAGGGGAGTAGTCTGGGGTGCTTTTTGGCAGAGCATTTCTTTCAGAAACCATACTCCATCTGTTTGGAGGAGGCAGATCAAAGAGAAGGGATTAGTGGGAGAGGGTCAGGGATGAGCAGTAGTGATACGAGGGGGTGCAGAGGAATTAGGAGGCTGTGTGCTCAAGCCCCTTGCTGAGCCATGGGCTTAAGCAGCCAGATGGCAGCTGCATTGAGTGGAGTAGAACTCACGCTGAAAGGAAAATGTCATCCACAAAGAAAACCCACAAGCCAGGAAGGGGAGGCAAAGTCACTGTTGGCAGAAACCATCATGAAGAGTCACCGTGCCACAGAGCTCTCTGAAGCAAGGGCCCTGGCCCTTCTCAGGGAGTCGCCCTGTGGAGAAGTGTGTCCGTCAGCATTTTTCTTCTTTACGGGAGTGGGTGGAGGAAGCCATGGCCAGCAGGACCAGACCTTGGCTGGGCATCCCGCCATTCATCAGGGCTGATGACAGAACTGTCCCTGTTAGCGTGCTGTCGGATAGCAATCCATCACCTAGCCCAGTGGGGCTCCTGGGTTCAGAGGGGGAGGTGTCCTGGCTCTGTGGCAGTCAGAGGGCAGCGGGGAGCTGGCACCTGCGTGGGTCCTTGCTGCCCGTCCTAAAGAGAAGCCAGTGGAGAAAATGGTGCTGATTCATCCCCATTGTCCTGTGGGGCACCTGTATGGGAAGGGGAAACCAGCTGGGAGGAGCCTGGCAAGCCCTGTTTCCTACCTGCCCACAGATCTTCTGGGCACTTAGGCCTCCTGTTGGGCACCAGCAGGGAGAGACAGCTGGAAAGTGACATGCTTTGCAGCACATGTCAGGCAAAGAGCTTGGGCACTGGAGTCGGCCCAGGACACATCTGACCCCCAGCCCTGCTGCTTAACAGATGCGTGACCTTGGGCAAGTTACATGGGCTCTCAAACGGCTTCCTGCTCTGTGAGATAAAAATAAAGAGGACAGTCTCATAGGGTTACTTTCTTCCCCTGTAATTTGATTATGAAAAATTTCAACCGAATGGAAAAATTAAAAGAATTTTATAGAGAATATCTACATACTCACCCCCTAGAGTCTGCAGTTTGCAGCATACCATAGTTGCTTTACCACATATCTTTCCATCTAGTCGCAGTTATTTTGAAGAAAAGCGAAAGTGTTAGTCACTCCGCCATGTCCTGCTCTTTGCGACTCCATGGACTGTAGCCCCCTCAGGCTCCTCTGTCTATAAGATTCTCCAGACAAGAATGCTGGAGTGGGTTGTCATTTTCTACTCCAGGGGATCTTCCTGACCCACAGATCGAACCCGGGTCTCCTGCATTGCAGGTAGACTCTCTACTGTCTGAGCCAGCAGGGAAGCCCAGTGTTATTTTAAAGATGAGATTAATGAGTAGGTATTGGAATGCTTGGCACAGTGTCTGGCACGTAGTAGGCGTCTTTCTGGAAGGTGGGAGTGGAGGAGAGGCCCTGATCTCTGGTGGGCATTGACCATGATCGGGGGAGAGCTGACCTCCCCGTCTCCACCATCTCCAGGACTTCGGTTTCCGCAGCCAGATCTCAGAGCGCCTGCTGGATGTGGATGTGCACTCCTCTGTCCTGGGTGGCGCCTGCTGGGAGGTAAGTCTCTCTGGGGCTGGGCTGGGGCCTCATTTTTGGTGATAATCAAGAGCTGAGGCCTGCCCATCCCAGGGTGCATTTCTGAGAGTTCTCTCCCGTTTGGTTCATCAAGGCAAGGCCCTGACTGTGCCTGTGATGGAGCTTCCAACGTTCATGCTCTGTTGCTGCTGTGAATTAAGGGCCTTCCCTGCCCCCCGTCCTCCCTGTTTTTGTCTCTTCATCCATTCATTTAGCATCTGAGGGCCGACCATTTGTGCCTGTGCAAAAAAGCACTGTGCAGCTTGTGGATTTCAGGGCACTTCCTCACCTGGCCCATTCAACCTCTGCTGCCACATCCTCAGCCCACCTGCCATGCCCTGGCTGTGCCCACCACTCGCCATTCCCCTGGGCCACACCGTCCACCGCCTCACCACCCTGCCTGCCGGCCGCCTCCCCTTGTGCCCTGAGAGCTCCTTCTTTGTCTTGGAGGCCCATCTCTGATGTCACCTCCTCCGTGCCCGATGGATCGGTCCTCCCCTCTGCTTCCCTTAGCGCTGCTGCTTTTCTTTTCTGGTTCTCTATCTCCCTGGCCAGATGTAAGCTCTGGGCAGGCATGGGTGTCGTTGAACCCAGAGTAGGGGATAAAGGTGACTCAGACACAGATCCTATCTGCAAGGAGCTTGAAGCCAAGGTTATTTTTTCATTTTCTCTTTTAGTATTGAAGGATGGTTTAATATGATGAATCTTCTAACTATATTTCATGATATCTGTGAATCAGAGGGTAAAACCTGATCACTTTGAGATCAAAAGGTATCTGATAAAAATTTAACATTGATTTCTAAAAATAATAGCTTTAAGGAAGCCATTTATTTAACATGATTAAAATGATTTTTTTCTCAAAACAAGCATCAATATCTTGGTGAAACACTAGCAAATATTTGCAAACAAAACTGACAAGGGATTAATCTCTAAAATATACAAACAGCTCATATAGCTCAATAACCAAAAAATCAAACAACCCAATCCAAAAATGGGCAGAAGACCTAAACAGACATTTCTTCAAAGAAGACAGACAAAAAAACCCCACAAAAAACATTTCCACTTATTTTAAATAAATACCAATTTTGAAACAAACAAACGAAAAAACATTACCACTTATTTTAAATAAACACCAATTTTGAAACAAACAAAAAGACAGATGGTCAGCAAATATATTAAAAGGTACTCGGTATCATTAATTATTAGAGAAATGCAAATCAAAACTACAATGAGGTATCCCTTTAGACCATCTGGAATGGCCATCCTTTTAAAAAAATCTGTAAAAAATAAATGCCAAGATCTTTTTGCCTCCTCTGTGGGATTATTGAGAGGAGAGAGGTTCTGACGTGGTCTCTGCAGGTTTGAGGGAGCATTTCGTTTGGGTAAAACAAGGTATTTAATGTGAATCAAGCCTGGGAGCCCTTATTGAAGCCAGTCCTGAGTCAGGGTAGAGTTGTGAGTCCGGTTGATTGGAGCCTGACATGTTCCTCTCAGCTCTGGCTGATAAGCCTTCCTGGGCCACTGCTTAGCCACTGGGTCCCTGCTGGACAGTGGATCTCTCCCCCTTACTGCCTGCCCACCGTTTGCAGCACTGGAGGTCTGTAAAGGCACAGACAAGGCCAGGTGGTGTTCGTAAGGAAGGGTTTGGAGCAGGTGATTGGTGAGGTCTTTGGCAGCAGGTAAGTGGGAAAGTTACCGAGTTGGCTAGGCAAGGTGATTTTCCACTGCTCTGACTCCAAAATCTGGCCAATATTAGAATCTTTAAGTGAAAGAAAGCGAAAGTCGCTCAGTTGTGTCCGACTCTTTGCGACCCCATGGACTATACAGTCCATGGAATTCTCCAGGCCAGAATACTGGAGTGGGTAGCCTTTCCCTTCTCCAGGATGTCTTCCTGGGATCGAACCTAGGTCTCCCTCATTGCAAGCGGATTCTTTACCAGCCGAGCACAAGGGAAGCCCTTGTGGGGCTTTTAAACAGACAGATTTCCTTGGAGGGTTTTTAAAAAGTGGACCACCAGGGAAGTCCCTGTGATTTACTTAAGTGAAGACTGAATTGTGAACAAAAACAAAACCCCAGAGCTGAGTTTAGGTTGGGGAAGAGGTGTCTTGTGCAATCTTAGGCCAGAGGCTTAGAACAGGCATGCGTTTCCTCGTTTTGAAGAGTGCTGATGTGCCTGATGGCCTTGCCTGGTTCCTTTGACTCCCTTTCTGGGGCAAAAAGTTCTAGGGAGCAAGTAAAACTCTGCTCAAAGGGCCTCTGTGTGGGTACTTGCCCAAGGTGTGCCCTTTTCTCTGGCTCCTGAGTTTCTAGCAGAAAGGTGAATCAGGAAGGAAACAGACATTGTCTGCAGCTCATCCTTTCTGATTCTCAGCCCCCCAATACTTATTATGATCACTGAACCTTGTTACCCATCTTATATTTTAGTTTGTGAAATAGATTGGCCTGTGGGAGGGCAGCTCTCTGCTAAGCATGGTGTGATCTGTAGGGAAGAGAAGTTGCAAGTTGAGTCCTGGAAGGGGAGGAGGCGGGGTGGGAGAAGGACGCCCGCCCTGCCATTGTCTGCGGGCTCTGCCCGGCTGATGCGATCAGGAATGGCAGCGCTGGCAGGGAGCCCTTCTGCTGCGGGCACCGGGAGGCACTCCCAGGCAGCGTTTCTATTTTTAATGTAATTTGAGGGGAGCTGGCTTTTAGTTCAGACCCTGCCCTTCCTCACCCATCCAGATGGCAGAGTCGGCCACAGCTGCTGGGGCTCAGGCTGCCAGTGGAGAGACGTGGGGGGCTGCGGGCATGGGGCTGGGGACACGGAGGTGTGCCAGCGCGGCCAGAACCCCGCCGGAGAAGATGGAGTGGGCTGTCTCCAGCCTCACCTCTCCTGTTAACCCTTGTGTGCCGGAACAGATGGGGCCCCTGTGAGTGTGACAGAAGGAGTGCAGGTCCTAGGATGGGGACTGGCACTGACGAAGCTGGGTTTCTTTTGTTTTTTTTTTTTTTTCCCCCCAGGCTGGGGGAGAGGAGGAGGAGTGTGAGGAGAGCTCTTGTTTGTAGCATGCCTTTTTTGGGCCGGAGTTGGGCTTTAAAGTATATGATCTCATTTAATCCCCACTAAAAGCCCTGTACACTGTGGTTCACTATCTCATTTTTCACAAAATAATTTTATTTATTTATCTTTGGCTGTGCTGGGTCTTCATTGCTGCGTGGGCTTTTCTCTCGTTGTGGCAAGAGGGGCCCCTCTCTAGCTGTAGCACGTGGGCTTCTCATTGGGGTGACTGGTGACTTCTCTTGTTGAAGTCACGGCTCCAGGGTGCGGGGACTTCAGTGGTTGCGGCTCCTGGGCCCTAGAGCACAGTCTTAATAGTGTGGCGCACAGGCTTAGTTGCTCTGGGCGTGTGGGATCTTCCCAGTTCAGGGACGGAACCTGTGTCTCCTGCACTGAGCCACCCCACCTGGGGATTGAACCTGTGTCTCCTGCGTCTCCTCCATTGCAGGCGAATTCTTTACCATGGAGCCACCGGGGAAGCCCAGGGGAAGCCCTGCGATCCCATTTTGTAGTGGAGGAGGTGCTGGAACTAAGGGTTAAGTCCAGGCTGACTGCACTGCTATACCCCTGTCACCTCACCCCTGCAGAAAATTGGTGAATGTATTAAGAATAGTCCTTTTCACCAGCTTGCTAACTTTGCCCAGACACCCAAACTTTAAAATGAGGTTTGGGCCTGACTCTTTTCGTTGCTTCTTTGCACTTTCTGGCAGGTATAATTCCTGATTAGGAAGGGGGTGTCACTGTCTCCTGATGGCACCTGGGTGTCGGGGCATCTCAGAATGGTGCAAAGGAGCGCGTCTTCCTCCCTTCCGGTTGCCCTCATTGTGCCCTTCTCATCTGTCTCTCGTTTCACCACGTCTCCACGTCTCCAGATTTCCTCTTTGATGCACTTTGTCTGCCGTCCCCAGTCCTGCTCACTGAATTTCAGCATTCCGGATGATCAGTGGCTCTGGCGGTTGGGGGCCTGTGGATTTGGGGTGTTCACGGACGTCTCTGCTTTCTCTCTGCAGCTGGCAGTGAATGTTTCCACCTGCAGGAGGCAGGATTTTCTTTTTCTTGTGTGTCCTCCTTCAGCCTGTGGCTGCTGACTCTGCCTGCAGTGGCTGTGGTGTCTGACTCATCCTCCGCAGGGCAGCAAGGCCGGCTCTGGAAGCAGCTGTGAGCCTGGGGGCTTAGCCCGAGCTGCAGGGGCTTCCTTGTACAGTAGACAGGCCTTCTCTTCTGCATCCCCAGTGGTCCTCTCCCACCAAGAGCCACCTCTCAGTGCTGCCTCCTGGCATGGGTGTCGACTGGAGGATTAAAGGACCCGATGCAGACCCCTACCCCAGTGTACACTTTCCACTGCTGCTTGTCTGCAGGCCCAGAGGTTTGGAAGAGAAGACAAGGATGCCAGCCAGTCCAGCCAAGAGGAGCTGCAGAGCAAGCAGTCTGGAGGCTCAGAGAGGTACTGTGCGTGGGAGGTGGCCCTTGGGGACTTTGGGATGGCGTGGACTTGGGGCCAGAATTCCTGCCTTTGGCCTACATGCCTCAGTGTGCTCCAGTGATGAACTCACTGGATGGCCTTGCAGAGTTCCTGTGTGTGCGCGCGCGTGCACATGCACAGGCAAACCAAGACAGAAGTGGGAGGTACTGCTGCAGTGTTTGGTGGGACTTTGTGGCCACAGCATTATTGTGGGGCCAGGGCTCTGTCCTCTTCACCCAATTGGATGCAACCTCGTGTGTCCCTGGTCATGGGTCAGGGCTGGATAGTCTGCTAGAGGTCTGGGGGACCATGCTAGAGGATCGGTGCTGCAGCTCAGAGCTCTGAGCCAGGCCTAGCCACATCAGAAATGGCTGCAGCTGTGTGTGTGTATGTGAGTGAGAGAGACTGAGAGACGGGGCTTCCAGCTTCTCAGGCCTGGGCCCACGAAAGAGAAGGGTTGCCACCCTGGCAGGGGAAGGGGGTGGTCATTCTACTTTTTGAACCTTGAAAAGCTGTCAGCATTTTTACTTCCTCAAAGCTGCAGCTTCATGTATTTTCTATAGAGTGACCATTTGAGCCTGGCTTCCATTTTTCTTCCTCTTTCCTGCTCAATTCTTCCATCACTCCCCCCACTCCCAGACCCCAGGGATGGTGGGGATAGATACACCCGTGTATGCCCAGATGTCACTCCTGGGCCATGCAAATGCAGCCTATGGACCTGGGAGGGCTGAGTCCAGTCCAGGCAGAGGGTGAGCTCAGTAGGGAGCTTGTCCATCCTGCTTTTTTGGCTGTGTTGCCCTCCATGGGCTCTCCATGGAGGTGGGGCCAGGACTGGGGTCCAGCCTGGAGGCAGCATGGACCTGGGTCCACATACTCCACTCTGCAGTTCTCCTGCTGCTGTGCGAGTGGAGGCCCTGACTCTGCTCTCTGCTCAGGTTATCTCCCCCTCTTCTGCGTGAGGAGCGGCTCCAGAGTCTCCTTCACAGCCAGGCCACCGACGAAGGGCCTCCGCAGGCCCCAGAGGGGCAGCCTGAGCGGAAGGAGGCAGCAGAGCCTGAGGAGGGCTCTCTGGGCAGCCCCCCACCCTCTGTTTCCCTGCAGAGGTAAGGGCCGGCCGGAAGCCTCCCAGGGCAGTGGGTCTGGAGAGGTGGGGAGAGCAGGGGGCGGGTTTGCAGCCTAAGCAGCAGCAATGGAGGTTTCTGGTTAGTGCTTCATATAAACTGAGGAGGGAGGAAATCTCCCTCTTCCTAGTCCGCAGCCTGCAGCTACAATCGGGGTGCACAGACTGGTTAGGGAAGCTTAGAAACTCTGGCACAAGGAAGTATCTCTTCTGACCCAGCTGCCCCCTGCCAGGGGGTGGGGCAGAGTCTGCTGTCACCCGGGCTGGACAGTTCCTGCTAGGGGGGCGGCCATGTCTCCTGGTCCCCACCTGCCAGCCCCCTTCTTCCCCTTGATCATCCCACCGCTAGTCATTCAGCAAGCCCCGGGGGTGGACGGAGCCCTGCTAGTGCTGGGCCCCAGGTCAGGGAGGTGCGGTGCCCCAGGCTTCCCCCAGGATGAGAAAGGCGCTGGCCTGAGAGCTCACTCGGCTGGAATGAATCACTGTGAAGGCAGAGCAGCAGCACCCACGGAGCCCCTGCTGCGTGGGGCAGTGGGCAGCGGAGCTGAGGCCTGGGGCCTGAGACCGCACGTCTTGCTGGGGCTGCCTCCTCCCTTGGCCCCAAGCGGGGTACACCTGGGAGCCTCTCACTTTCCGCTGGTTTTAACGCAGTTCCTTCCTTGTTGCTGTCAAGGGAGGCGCTCCCAAGCCTACCTGCCACCCACGAGAGGGGCGAGGAACGGCATCCCCAGGCCGAGGGGCCGGGCCCTGGGCAGGAAGAGCCCGAGGAGAAGGTGGCGGTCAGCCCCACCCCGCCAGGCTCTCCAGAGGTGTAAGGGCCAGTTTCCATGTCTGTCCCTGTCCTCCATTGTGTGGGTTGCTTTAGTGCCTATCCCGTCTTGGGTGGTGGGGAGAAGGTGCTCTGGCCCTGGCTCAAGGAGTGGAGTGGGGGGAAAGTGAGTGTACCCTTGGTTCTGTGTGCAGCCTTGACCCCTAAGCAGCCCTCAGGGCTCCCCTCGTCAGCACCTAGGGTATGAGGCTGGAAGCGAGGGGGCAGAGCACCTGCTGGGTCCTTAGCAGAAACCTGTTCAACCACGTTTTCTGCTCTATCAAGCATTGTTTTCCTTTAAAAAATTATTGAGGTATTTATGTACCTGGTTGTATGTACACGTGAATTGTACAAGTCAATGAATGTTTATATACATGTGGACCATATCACAGGCTTCCCTGGTAGCTCAAGACAGTATAGAATCTGCCTACAATGCAGAGACCTGGGTTCAACCCCTGGGTCGGACAGATCCCCTGGGGAAGGGAATGGCTACCCACTCCAATATCCTTGCCTGTAGAATTCCATGGACAGAGGAGCCTGGTGGGCTGCAGTCCATGGGTCGCAAAGAGTCGGACCTGACTGAGTGACTCACACTTTTTACACACCGTGTCACAACCTCCCAGATCTTTTAGAACATTTATGTCCCTCCTGTAAGCTTCCTCGGGCTCCTCTCCTTTCAGTCCACCCACCCCAGATCACTACTCTTCTGGCTTCTGTCCCATAGATTCATTTTTCCTGTTCCTTGACTTCATTTGAATGGAATTATCCAGTACACAATATAGATCTTTTGTGCCTGGGTTCACAGCTCACCTACACTGTTGCACTTCTAAAACTTGGAAACCCTTTAGCTCTTCTCCCCCTCTCTCGCCCCTTTTACAGATGAGGAAACTGAGGTTCAGAGGGGCAGAGGGATTTGCCCAAGGTCACATTGCTAGTCGATCGCAGAATTAGATCTAGATTCTAGTCTCTGGAGCCCTTGACTTCTGTCTCTTGGTCTGCAGCCACTGTGTCTTTTCCCTGCGTGGTGCCGGGGTTTCAGGGTGATACAGTTTTTCCCGCCTGTGAGCTGAGCAGTAGTAAAGGATTAAGAGTCCTCAGGATTGGGGCTGACTGTTGAGCAGACAGGTTCACGCACTGATTGCTCACAGTAAGTGTCGCCGAGGGCTGGCGGGACCGAGAAGGCACGTTCTCCTGTAGCACTCTGTCGTGCTGAGGGAGTGATGTAGGGAAGGGCCGGCCCCCTTTTCAGGTGGTGATCCAGCCCATCCAGCGCGGGTGACAGCGCTGCCCCTGGGGAGTGACATGGCTTTCCCTGGTCTCCTTGGCTGTGGACAGCCAGATCAGGGTGCTTATGATGAGGACAGGAGGTGAGCTGGCTTCAGAAACAGGACCCTCTGGGCAGAGGTCAGGGGTCAGAGGGCGTTTTCGCAGGGCTTTTGGGAGAGAAGTTGGGCGGTGAGGCTCCTCCCGGCCACCCGGGCTGACAAGTCCTCTTCCCTGTGTTTCTCCTCCTGTTCCTGCGAGGCTGTCCTTGCTGGGCCACCCTCCCCTTGACCCCACAGGTTCAGTTTACACGGTACTCTTAGGAGATGTCTTCTGCTCCTTTCCTGGAGTCTTCTCAGGCTCTAGAACTTCCTTGCTATTGACCTTTACAGCTGGCTTCAGAATGGATTTGTTCTCTGGGTTTCGCGGGGAAGTGACTCTGTGCTTCATTTGTATCCATGGAATTTTAATTTGCAGAGGTGACTGAGTGACAACACAGAGGGGCCGATGCCACTGAAAGAAGAATTTATTCCTTATGTTTCCAGAGAGAAGAGGGCATGCCCTGCCAGGCGGGGCCACGTGGAGAAGGACCAGAGTTGGTCAGGAGGGGAAAGAAGTGAGAAGGAAGAGCAAGACCCGGAGCTCTTATTGGGGTTTTCTTGGGAAGCAGTGGGTGAGGCAGGGTGAGTACTCAAGTGACTGTAGAGGGGGAAGTTTGAATAATTTTGGATGGCTTTGGGCTCTGGGCATGGTCTCTGGTTGCCTGGGGCCCGGCCCTGGGTGATCTGGGGCATGGGAAATAGATTAAGAGACGGTAGGGGTGGGTTTGCTTAGGAAAGACATATTCCCTTTGCTGTCTATAAAGATTGCCTGGTCCGGGGAGGGGCACCCTCTCCTTGACCAGCCAACTTCTTCAGATATTGTAACACTGTAAAATATAGAGAATAAAAAACATGATTAGGAGAGTCTGTCACCTGCATGGATGTTGTCAAGCAGAATCAGGAGGGGTTAGAAGCACAGGGAGGTCAGAGTGCAGGTGAGGCCAGCAAGCAGCCGCTGCTGTGTGTGCTTTATGGCTGGGAGGCCCGGGTCTGGGAAATAAGCGTATCCTTCCCTCTGTCTTCCCAGCATCCTTCATCAGGTGTTTGTAGAGAGAGAAGGCAAATGCATTAAAACCACTGGGCTGGAGAAAGAGACTTGCAGACTTAGAGAATGAACTTATGGTTGCGGGGAAGGGATAGCTAAGAGAGCTTGGGATGGACAGGTACATGCTGCTGTATCTACAATGGATAACCAACAAGGACCTACGTAGTGTTGTATGGCAGCCTGGATGAGAGGGGGGTTTAGGGGAGTATGGCTGAGTCCTTTGGCTCTCCACCTGAAACTGTCACAGCACTGTTAATTGATTATACCACAATATAAAATGGGCTTCCCTTGTGGCTCAGATGGTGAAGAATCTGCCAGCAATGCAGGAGACCCGGGTTTGATCCCTGGGTCAGGAAGATCCCCTGGAGAAGGGAATATTCTCCAGTATTCTTGCCTGGAGAATAGAAGAACCTGGTCGGCACAGTCTATGGGGTTGCAAAGAGGGACTAACTGAGGGACTAACTAATACTTCAGTATAAAATAAAAAGTTAAAAAACAAACAAAAACCACTGGGTTGAAAATGAGTGGAGACAGAATCCCTGATAGCGATCCTAGTTTCAGTGGTGGCACGGCTGCGTCAGGACTCTGGGTACCACAGCCCTCCACCCTCTCCTCCCTCCCTGCCCGTCCCTCCTCGCTTTCCCTCGAATGTCTCAGAGTAACTCGGCTGGCAGCCTGAAACGACATTCTGCTGAGCCTCCTCTCAGCCACTCGCTGTTGGAAACTGGGTCTCACTGATGGTGATACTTGAGGAGTGGCCTAGAAATCGGACCTGCCTCTTCCCCTGGAGGCTTTGACTTCCCAGGCGTGTCATAGATCTTTCAGGCTCACTATTGACCGCGTTGGACCTAAGCTGGGAGTTTGGGATACTCAGTCTTGAAAACAGGGACACAGCGAAGAGGCCCGCTGGCAAAGCAGCCCCGATCTGCCTGCATGCCAGGCGTGCAGGCAGGCTCACCGGTGCGTGCAGCCTGGGTGCACGCGGTCACGCCGGCTGGTGCTCTGTCTCTTCGCAGCATCTGTCCCTAGGGCCCCACATAGCTCCGCAGCCCGCAGGGAAGGGAGACATTAAAAGGTACTATCTCAGGGAAAAAAAGATGTTTTCAGCTCAGGTTGGAAATGAGTTGGAGGGTTGATGAGGCGGAGAGCTGCGGCGGTGGCGGGGTTGGGGGAAGGCTCTTTCCAGGGCAGGATTCTCAGAGGAGATGGTGGCTACATCTTACATCTGCCTCAGTCTGGGCTGCGTCAGGGGACTGAGAGGAAGCAGGAATTGGAAGGAGGGAAACGGGCTTGGGAGCAGAAGGGAGCTGAAGACAGAGCTCAGGACCATTTCTGGTCTGAGTCACGATTTTAGGAAGGATCTCAATTTTTCAGAGACTTGGGTAGCCTTTTGTGTGTTTCTTCTGTCTCTGGCCTTAAGGGGCTGGAAGGGAATTCCAGAGCCCTCCTTTCCTTCTGCTGTGCTAGTCTGATCCCACCCGCCGCCTTCCATCTGCTGCAAAGCGGGAGCTGAGGGCGGAGGGGCTTCTGCATCCCGGGCAGGCTGCTTCCCTTCTTGGACCCTGCCTCCACCCCTCCTTGATTCAGACCCTGCCTGCATGCTGCTGTGGTCCACTCGGCCATGGTGCCAGGCCCTGCCACAGGCTGATCATCGCGGGAGAAGGTGGTGCTTGCGTGGCCAGACCAATTTCTAATGTAAGATTTAAGGACCTGGGACTGCACACGCGTCCTTGCCTTTAGGAAAGCCACTCTGGGAGGCAAAATACTTTATCCCACTTATGTTTCCATTGCTTAAAATGTTCTTGGGGTTTCTCTTTGGCTGTTTCCTTCAAGAGCCAAAATATGTGCAGCAGAACAACCTTCATGACTTTGTAGACATCTCTTTAACCAACTCCATTGTTCCTTATCTAACCACCTGCCTTTTGCATCCCAGTCAGAATTCCTTTTACCTATTTCCACACGGTGAATTCACTCTAAGCAGATGAAGTTGTGGCACTGTTAAGGAGATACGGAGCCTGGCATTTCGGATGTGCCTCTGCTACTCTCTCTGGCTTAGGGAAGGGTCTCCTGCCTGGCTCTCTTGGCACTGTGGAAAGAGGTTGGGCACTCCTGGTCCTCCATGGACTATTCTGGGCCTCAGGGCTAGGAGACATGCTGCTGCTTCTCCTGCTGGCTCATAAGCGTTGACCGCTGTTCAGTTTTGAGAGTCAGGGAGCAGCCTCTGGGGATTCCCCAAACTGCTGGCATGAGCCTCACGTAACAGGGAGAGCCCTGGTAGGAGACGGAACTGGGGCCACGAACCCACTCGGGGGGAGTCCATGAGGGACAGAAGTTTGCCCTCTTCTCCTGCCGCCAGCTCCTCAGCCATGTCTCGGGGTGTTCACTCTGGCCACAACCTACCCAGTCGCCTGAGAGCCTCCTATGCATCACCCACCCCTTAGGCACTCAGGCCCTCCCTCACACAGCCACAGTGGAGCTTATCGTATAGAATAGGGGTCTCCAGCCTCCAGGATCTAATGCCTGATGACCTGAGGTGGAGCTGATATGGTAATAATAGAAATAAAGTGCACAGTAAATGTAATGCACGTGAATCATCCCCAAACCACCCCCCAACCCCTGGTTTGTGAAAAATTGTCTTGCATTAAACCAGTTCCAGAAAGGTTGGCCAGAAAGGTTGGGGGCCGCTCCTCTGGAACAGATGCTGCCCTTGTGTTCGAGAGGGTAGCCTTGCTGCTCGCCCTCAGGCGACCTGACATGCACATACGACTCCTGACCGGAGGCCCTCCGTTAGGGCTCCGTGTGGACTGTTCGGTATCTGTATAAACCCTGGTGCCAGAAGGTGGGTGAACAGTAAACCAAGTGAGACGCTGCTCCCGCCCTTGGCAGGCGATCTGCAGAGCCCGTGGCTCCCCGGGAGCAGCTCTCAGAGGCCGCGCTTGAGGCCACGGAAGAGGCGGTGGCCCGAGAGCTCGAGCACGAGCAGACACGGCTCCTGGAGTCCAAGCGAGAGAAGATGCAGCGGCTGCGGGAGAAGCTGTGGCGGGAGGAGGAGGCGGAGGCCCTGCAGCTTCACCAGCAGAAAGAGAGGGCGCTCAGGTACCTCCGCCCCCTGGCCCAGCCATGCTGGCCGCCGCGGGGATGCCTGGGCCCCTCCAGGACGACTCCTCCCTGGCCAAGACCCGTGCCTTTCCTTTTTTTGGGAAGGGACTTGAGAGGCATGATAGTAATGGGGATGGCTGGTATGTTTTGAGAGATTACTCTGATCCATGTGCTTTATGTCTGCTAACGCGTTCAGTCCTTGCAATGGCCCTTATGAGGTGTTGTCATCGTCTATTTTGTAGAATTTATAATATAGATGAAGAAGCTGAAGCACAGGAAGGTTAGGTAGATTGTCCAAGGTATGGAGCCTCATAAGCAGCAGAGCCTGGATTAACAGTCCAGGTGGTTTGTCTCCAGGGCCTGTTTCTTTTTTTTTTTTTAAACACCATTCTTTATTTTTTTATTTTGGCTGCACCATGCAGCATGGAGGAGTTTAGTTCCCTGACCAGGGATTGAACCTGTGCCCATTGCAGTGGGAGCTCAGAGTCTTAGCTACTGGACTGCCAGGGAAGTCCCCTGTTTTTGTTTTTAAATAATTTTTATGTATTTTATTTTTGGCTGCACTGGGTTGTCATCATTTTGCACAGGCTTTCTCTAGTTGCAGTGAGTGGGGGCTGCTCTCTTATTGCAGTGGAGCGCAGGGTCTAGGGCATATAGGCTTCAGTAGTTGTGGTTCCTAGGCTCTAGGGCATGGGCTCAGTAGTTAAGGCACACGGCTTAGTTGCTCCTTGATGTGTGGAATCTTCCCTGATCAGGGATTGAACCAGTGTCCCCTGCATTGGCAGTTGGATTCTTACTCACTGTGCCACCAGGGAAGTCCCAGACCTGTTTTCCTAATGACTATGACATCCTCTCTCCTGGGAGTCAGGGTCCTGTGGGGACCCAGTGAGATTGGTAGGGACCATGTGATAGGGTGTGAGGTGCTCTTGCCCAGGACCCAGAAGTTTCTGTTTGGGTTCCTACTCTTTGAATAGGTGACTGGCAGGCCCTCGACAAATGCAGCACGTAAGCTTAAGCTGGGCTTGTGTGTGTAGGATTGTGTGTTTCTGTGCTGGAGTTCTGGTTTTTATAGGAAAAGGCAGTTGAGGGCTGGCATGACAGCTCCACAGTAAAGCGTCACCAGGTGTCCTTTAATCCCTCTGTCATCATTAGTGCTGACTTTTACTCTCAGGCTCTCTTTACAGTCCATTGTAGCTGCTGGATCTCCAGCCAGCATATCTGTGTTCCAGGCAGGAAGTATAGGGGGCCCCTTCTAGCTCATTCAGTCCCTTCAAAGGCACTTTCATGGAAACTTTACCCAATAATTTCTGTTTATATCTCACTGGCCACTCCTGCTTGCAAAGGGTGCAAAGTTGACTGGGGAATGTAGTCCTCTAGCTGGTCTCTGGGCCTGAGAGAATAAAATTAGGGTTTTCTTAGTAAAGAATAGTGGGAGAATGGATATTGAGAGGGTCATAAACCATCTTTGTCACAGTCCCGGGATGGGGAAAGTGCTACAAAAAGATGTTAATATGTTTCACTTACTTGGCAGTTAAGCTAAAGGCTGAATCTTGTCCTCTTGGACAGAAGATCCCAAAGTGCTGTAGACTTACTATTTTTATATCATACATGGCAAAGACTGTATAAAATATTTATGCTTAATTTAGAGAAACTAACAGAAAACCAGCACCCAACTGCCCGGAGGCTTGGGGACAGTCTCTCTCATTAGCCCAACACAGGCTCTGCTGACCAGGGTCCATCCTGTGTCACCCTTCCTGGGTCCCCCTGCCAGAGAGCACCCCAAAGTATAGATGGTCCCAGGCATCCTCCTCTTCTAGCCACCTGGAACTTGGGGAGGGGGCCCCCAAATAGAGTGTGACTCAGCTTACCTTGAGAGGCAGTGCCTGGGAAGAAATACTGGTGGGATCTCCCCACCAGGCTCCTCTCTTTCCCTGGACACCCTGGGCTGTGCTGACTGCTCTCTGTCCCTTCCCGAGCTCCCCAACTTCAGAGGGGCCTCCCAGAGCCCTCCTAAATTATAGTGAAAACCAGCCTGTTGAAAAGTATCTGACTCAGGGCCTAAAGCATGATAGTTGCTCAGTAAAAGCTGGCTCTTGGTTATATTTTCAGCTGAAATCAGTACACTGTTGGTGGTCTTGACTAAGTGATTTCTCTGTGGGCAGCGCCTTGCCTGGCTTTCTTCAAAGTAGTTTGTCATGAGAACCCTGTTTCTATTTACACATGAGCCTTTCTGAGGGCTAGGGTCTCCTCTCTCCTGGGAAATTACCACTTGGTGGAAATTTCTGGAAACCACAGCAGACCTTGTAGCAAATATTTCTTGAATGAGAAGGCAGGCAGGCAGGCTGACACTTAGTTTCTTAAGTTATGAAACAGACTGAGTTTAGTTGTAAGATGAAGAGAGGAGAGTGTTGTAAAACGCAGGACTTAACTGCTAAAGACCTTCCATTCTGTGGTGATATGTGTAAAATTTAGCCTTGGGACAAAGAGAAAGGGTTTCTGGGGAATCTAGCAGGAAGAATCTTTTAAATTTTCTATCATTACGGAAGAGAGCAGTGGTGTTGATAGCTGAAAATAGAGAATGATCCGGTCTTTTCTGGCTCTGGAATTCACTGCAGAAGCTTTTCCGAGAGATTGTCTTCTGAATCATGTTTTTCTCAGGCTTGAACTCCCTGAGTGTGCAGCACTGGTCACATGACAGCCCCTGGTCACGTGCGGGCCGCGCAAGGGTTGTCTGGTTGGGATGAGATGGTCACCATCTCGTTGGTCTGTGAATAAGGGACTCCTCACAGATAATCAGAACTTGCTTATAGTTTGGGCCTGGGTGATACTGCCCAAATTCAGCCAGCATTCATGGAGTCCCTACTTCCATTTCTGTTACTGTGCTTGGCACTTGGGAGATAGCAGATTTTAAGGCAAGATTCCTTCTCTCGAGACGCTCCCACACTTGTAAAGAAAACACACGTACAAAGGCTGAATTATGGTGTGATGTTATGCATGGCACAGAGCGGCATGGATAAGAAAGGTCTCCATATAAAGCGTGATGGGAGCTGAAAGAGGATTGGTGAGCTTGGGGAGAGTTGGAAAGGCTTTGAGAGGAGGGAGATGGGTGTTGAACAAGGAACACGGGTTTGTCAGGTAGGAAAGGGCATTCTCAATTAGAGAACTGGCTTGAACAAAGGCCAGGAGGCAGGGAGGAGTGTGGTGGGGTTTGGAGGTGCTGGCTCATATGATGTGGCCAGAGGTATGTTGGGGTCAGACTGGACCCAAGCTTGAGTAAATGCCTCCCACCTGGAGGCAGAGGAGAACCTTTGGCAGAAATGCTATTCTGGGATCACGGAGCCTGTAATCTGCTTCCTGTGGCAAAGGGCAGGTGGAGTTCATAGCCCCTCTCGCCCTGGGAGGTATTAAAGGCAGCAGGAGCCAGAGGCTGAGGTTAGGCTTGTTCTTAAGATGTAGGAAGCTTCACAAGCAGGCTCTAGGCTTTTGGAGGCTGAGAGCCAGGGGTTAGGTGTAGAAGGGAGAAGGCCTTGTGGTCCCGCCAACAAACTTGCCTTTGCTTTGCAGTTCCCTGAAGGAGCAGCTGCAGAGAGCCACCGAGGAGGAGGAGACCCAGATGAGAGAGCAGGAGAGCCAGAGGCTGTCCCGGCTCCGCGCCCAGGTGCAGTCCAGCTCGGAGGCTGATGAGGACCAAATCAGGTGAGTGTGGGCTGTCGGCGGCCCGGCCTCCCCGGAGGCTCTCCCCTCTCTGCACCCACACCCCCCCAGCATAAGTGCCCAGACCCACCCCCACCTCTTTTTCTGCCCAGGGCCGAGCAAGAGGCTTCCCTGCAGAGGCTTCGAGAAGAGCTGGAGTCTCTGCAGAAGGCCGAGAGGGCCAGCTTGGAAGAGAGGAGCAGGCAGATGCTGGAGCAGCTCAGGGAAGAGATGGATGCTTCGGAGAAGAGAGAGCAGGCTGCCCTGAACGTGGAGAAGGAGAGGGCCTTGGAGCAGCTGAGGGAGCAGCTGGAAGGGGAGAGGAAAGAAGTGAGTGCCCTCATCCACCCCCTTGTGTCCCTGGGGAGGGGCTGGGTGCTGAGGAAGAACAAGAGCCAGCCTTGGTGCCCAGGGGAGCCAGTAGCGCGGGGGTCTGTGAGAAAGGGCACGGAGATATTGGTCCGGCTGTCTGGGCCCATGTGGAGCCCACTCGTCTCAGAGCAGATGCTGCCCTGGTCTCCACAGCAGACAGAGGGCACAGTGGGGTCCAGAGGCCCCCCTCCAGGGCCTGCTGGGAGTTGTCAGCAGCAGAGAAGAAGTTTGAAGGGAAAGGACCCGGGGGTTTGGAAAGACTCCATGACTGAAAGATCTGAAACCAGACCAGAGGTCTTGGGACGAAGGTGCAGCGTCCCCGTCCTCGTCCCTGAGGGGCAGCTGTGATGACCTCTCATCTCTCTCCTTCCCTCCCCTGCCTCAGAGCGAGAGGCCGGCTCACTCAGAGGGGTTTGTTCTCCTTTGTCCTTACTCCCTGTCCCTCCCATCCAGTGGTCTGTCTCTAGGTAAGAGGCTGAAGTAGGTAGTAGGTCAAGTGGAACTGGCGTTTTATTTTGGTTCTGGGTGGAGTGTCAGTTCCCAGGCCTAGGGAACCTGTGGAGGATGTCACTGTGCTGCACGTGCTCAGGGAGACGGTGCTGAGCCTCCAGGCCTCCTGGCCCTTATTCACAGGTAGGAGTGTGGCCTGGGTACTGTGGTTTGGCCCAGAGGCCCGAGGGTGGAAGGGCCATGGCCAAGCCTCACTGAAAGATTCCCTCCACTCTGGCCTCCATGTCCCCATTTGCTTGCAGACTTGAGGGACAGCTGTTTTGGAGGAACACAGAGTGCCTGCGGTTCCCCTCAGCCCCCTTAGCTCAGGGGGCACTGGGGATGGTCTTCCTGGCTCTTGCTCGGCCCAGGGTCAGAGCCTGGCCAGCCTGCCTGGTCCTCACGGGCCCTGTGTTGCACCCCAGGCGGTGGCAGCGCTGGAGAGGGAGCACAGAGAGGAGCTGGAGCGGCTCTCCTCCTCGCTGGAGGCCAAGCACCGGGAGGTGAGGGGCGGCGGCCCTGCCTGCCGGGCAGAGCCTGGACCTGCCACTAGCCTCCCTCTCCTGCAGCCCTGGGGGCTGGGTCCCTGGGAAGCGAGTCACCCGCGGCTACTCTGTCGGGATCTCTGAGGGTCACACTGCCCGCTGCGGGCGCCTCCTCAGGTGGTCTCCAGCCTCCAGAAGAAGATGGAGGAAGCTCACCAGAGAGAGGAGGCCCAGCTGCAGGAGAGCCTTGGGTGGGCGGAGCAGCGAGCCCATCGCAAAGCATACCAGGTGCTGGAGTATGAGCAGGAGGTGCGTGCCGGTCTACCCCTTCCGCTCTGGAGGCCCGTTGTCACGGCCGGCCGGCCGAGCCATTCTGGCCTGAGGGTCCTCTGCTTTGCTTTGGACGGCTCAGCTGGGGCTCTGTTTTCATGCCTTAGTTCCCTGGAGGCCAAGTCCTTCTCCACCCTGTGCCCTGTACGTGAGTGGAGTGGGAGGGGGTGCTGGGTGTGGCCGTGTGTGTATGTGGGGACATTGGGGGAGGTGGGCGTGTGTCGCACACGTGTGTGAGTCCTTCAAGTGCTTCAGTCCCTGGGTGCTGCTCCAGCCTTAGTCCTGCATGTCACATCCCTGCCTCCTGCCCGGCAGCTCAGCGGCCTCCTGAGAGAGAAGCGCCAGGAGGTGGAGCGGGAGCATGAGCGGAAGATGGACAGGATGAAGGAGGAGCACCAGCAGGTGGTGGCTGAGGCCAGGCAGCAGTACGAGGCCGAGGTGACTTGGCCCCATCCCCTGGTGCACGTGTGTGTGTGTGTGTGTGTGCGCGTGCACACACACACCCACCCATCCCCACCCACCCCTCGGGGTCCTTCCCAGATGTCCTGAGGGCCTCAGAAGGGGTCAGGGGTCGTGGAAGCGTTCTTTACTTGCCCCCGGCAGTGGTGAAATCTGGTTTTGCCTTTGTACTAAAGCCTCCCTGCCATCAGGCTGCACTTTGCTCTCCTGTTAATAACAGCCAAGGTGTATTGAGCTTATATGATGTGCCAGGTGCATCCTGAGCTCTTTGCCTGTTAACCTCATTTAGTCTTCACAATACCCTCAGGCGGGGGTGTCCATACTACTGGTCTCTCCATTTTAAAAACAGGAAACAGACTTGAGCATAAGCAACTCCCCTAAGCCTCCCTGGCTGAGAAGGAGAGGAGCTAGGATTCAAGCCAAGACTGTCTGACTCCAGAGCCTTCTGATGCGGTTGGTTTAACCGCCAACCCTGTGCCTCCAGGCCTAATAGAAATTCCAGGACTGCAGGAAATAGGTTGGCAAGGGAAGGAAAGTAGGGAAGTTGCTCAGTTGTGTCCGACTCTTTGCAACCCCATGGACTGTGGCTTACCATGCTCCTCCGTCCATGGGATTTTTCAGGCAAGAGTACTGGAGTGGGTTGCCATCTCCTCCTCCAGGGGATCTTCCTGACCCAGGGATCGAATCCAGGTCTCCCGCATTGTAGGCAGATGCTTTTCCCGTCTGAGCCACCAATATTTAGATATTACCTGCCCTTCTTCAGCCTCTGGCTTGGAGGGGAGAGTACATGACTAAGTGGACCCACGCTGGCGTGCTCACATTGGGGCGAACGACAGGGAGGGCTGGTGGCTGACTTTAGCCTAGAGCTGGGTGGGCTTCTGTCCCCATTTTCTAGGCTATGCCTCCAGAAACGTGAACCAGTATCCCAGACTCTGCACCAGGGCAGAAATAGCAGCCCAGAGGAAAATGTAGTTGACTCCTTTCCTAAACCAATTCTGCCCTTGTTGAAGAATAGTGACATTTTGGTAAAGACCCCTTCCCTTAAGGAAGGAAGGCTGTGTGTGTTGGGGGTGGTAAGAGAGGCAGGGGTCCACACCAGGGATTTTTCAGGACATCTGTCCAGTGTTGTTTCAGCAGCAGCAGAGGGGGTGCAGGGTTTCTGGGGGGCGAGACCACACGGTCCCGGGCCCTCTCTCTCCAAGAGTCGGCCTCAGAGGCCTGGTGGGATCCCTGATCTTACTGACCTGAGGTGGCAGGGCAGGGGGTAGGGGGCGGCTCTGGTCGAAGGGTTGGGAGGGGCCGCCGTGGTTTCCCACTGATGGCCCCACCCTCTGTCAGGAGAGGAAGCAGCGGGCTGAGCTCCTGCGGCACCTGACAGGAGAGCTGGAGCGCCTGCGCAGGGCCCATGAGCGAGAGCTGGAGTCGGCGAGGCAGGAGCAGGACCAGCAGCTGGAGGACCTGCGGCGGCGGCACCGGGAGCAGGTGGGCCTCTTTGCTGACGGTCGCTTGGGGCCCGCCCTCCCCGACCCCTCTACCCAGGGCAGAAGAGTACTGGGGGCCCAGCACTGCCACCACGGCGGGGTGGGGCCTAACGGCTTCATGGGTGAGGAGGTCTCTCGCTGCCCATCCCCAAGCTGGGGCATTCTTGCTCTTTTGCTTTCTGGGCCAAGGAGCATCCCCAGGACTAGAAATGGAGGTCAGTGCACCACGGGCCTTGGGGTTGGTGTCTTTGCCTCTGCTCACCTCCACCCGCCCCCCCCCCCCAAATAAGTAAGGGGTGATGCTCTGCTGGGGGAGCCCAGCCCAGCTTGGAGCACGTGGTGTGGGGCACAGGGTCGTGAACTCCTTCAGGCCCTCAGCTCGGGCCTGGGCGCTGGCTGCACTCCCATTTCTCTCGCCACCTACATTCCATGCAGGAAAAGAAGCTCCAAGATTTAGAGGCGGAACTTGAAACCAGAACCAAGGATGTCAAGGCCCGATTGGCTCAGCTGGATGTCCAGGTGCGGGAGTAGGGGCAGAGGACAGGCTCTCAGGTACCCTTGACCTGGAAGTCTCCCCCAGGAGAGGCCCAGAGTTGGCCAGATGGCCAGACCTTCTGTGCCCTGCAGGAGGAGGTGGCCCGGAAAGGGAAGCAACAGCTCCTTGACGTGCAGAGGCAGGTCGCGCTGGAGAGCGAGGTGCGTCTGCCTCTCCTTCTGTCCTCCCTCATTGCACTTCCTTCCCCAACCCCTTCATTCCCCTGGTCTATCCGGGGAATTGGATTCCAAACTCTGTTGGCTAGCATCCCACAGATTGCCTCTCTGTGCGGGATCAGCTCGGCAACCGGGGGGCGGGGCCATGAAGGGGCAGGGCCTGTATCTGCCTTGTGCGCGAGGGGGGGGGGCAGGGTCCAGCCTCTCGACGAGTGCTCCCGGGTGTCTGCTGCTGTCTGCTCTGTACCTACCCCGTCGACTCCCTCCCACGTCTCCAGGTCCTTCTGTCTTTCCTTCTGCCCCCAGGAAGCCACAGCCACACATCAGTACCTGGAGGAGGCCAAGAAGGAGCACACCCACCTGCTGGAGTCAAACCGGAAGCTCCGAAGAATCTTCGAGGAGCTTCAGGCCCGCAAGCTGGAGCTGGAGTCCCAGGTGGAGCTGCTGCAGGCCCAGAGTCAGAGGCTGCAGAAGCATGTCAGGTGGTCTGAACCCCTGCGCCCCGCCACCCCTGCGCCTCCCGCCTGCCCTCTGACCTCTGCTGCTCGGGAGCTGTGTCTCCTCGTGGCCCAGTTAGCAAGCGGAGGTGGAGCCAGGCGGAGTGGCTGAGATTTGTACGGTCTACTGTCCCTGCCCCAGCCCTGCCTCAGCATCTTTGGCAGGATTGAAAGAATGGAGATGGCTCTGTCCCCTCCCCGCTAGGAGTCCTGAAAGGTGCTGCCAGGCCTGCTTCAGCATGTGACCCTGCCTCACCAACTCTTCCCCCCCCCCAATTTCCCATCACAGTGACCTGGAGGTCAAAGTTCAGAAGCAGCAGGACTTGTTGAAAGAGCTGGAGGTAAAGGACAGTAATGCTTCCCCACATTTGGAGCCCGATCTCCACCTCGAGGACCTGAGGAGATCCCCCTGGACAGTGAGCTTCTCTTGGAAGGGTCAGGGTGGCTGGAATAGGGCAGGGCTCCACGGGGGGCAGGGCTCTAGGAGGGGTTGAGGTCCAGGAGGGATGGGGCTCCAGCAGGGGAAAGTGGGTAGGAGAGGGGCTCCAGGAGGGGGTGGGGGCTCCAGGAGGGGGTGGGGGCTCCAGGAAGGGTTCTGACTATTCTGCCTAGGATTTTAGTCTCCTATTCTTATCATTCCTAGCCCTACTTCTCCATCAGTCAAATTAAATCCGTAAGTGACTGGTGCTCAGTGGCTGGCAGAAGCATTGTCTGGGCCACTAGGAGGGACTTCGGGGTCCATTGAGCCTGTAGTTATCTGATGTTGTTACATTCAGTGGGCGTTTTCTACTGCGTGTGTCTTCAGTTCAGTTCAGTTGCTCATTTGTGTGTCTTACAACCAGACTAAAGAGGTATCCTTCTCTCTCTTCCCAGAGTAAGGAGACTGCCTTATCCTTGGACAGGTGCGTTCCAATAACCTGTCCTATTTTGGGTTGAGGATCCAGGAATCATTGAGTGAGGACATGCCTCAGGGGCAGGGACTGATGTGGGCCCATGGTCTCCAGTGGGGCTTGGTTCAAGGATAGGGGCTGGGGCACTGAGGAGTCTTCTGTGACAACCCAGGAAGGTGCCCAGGGTGATCACTGACACAACATGCTAGCATGTACTGACCCTTGCTTGAGGTTTCAGGCTGATAGGAGAGTCTGGCCATCTCAGGAGGCCTCAGGCTTGGTCCCTGTCCGGGTCAGGGTGGGAGGACTGGAGTGCTCATCCCACGTGCTGCACACTGTGGGTATCAAGCAGCGGCATCCCCATGCTCTCCTAGCCCTGTGGTCTGTGCTCAGGCTGGACATCTGCTGGGACAGTGCTCGTGACCCACAGCAGTTGTTCACAGAGCGTGTGTCCCCACTCCACCCCATGCCCTGTCCTCTTGCAGTGCTCGGCACTACGTCTCTGCTGAGGGGGTGGCTCTCCGCAACGCCAAAGACTTCCTGGTGCGACAGTCGCGCTCCATGCGGAGGCGGCAGACAGCTCTGAAGGCCGCCCAGCAGCACTGGCGCCAGGAGGTGGCCAAAGACCTACCAGGCACCACGGCCCTGGAGGACGTGTGCAAGGACCTGGAGGAGGTCAGGAGCCCCAGGGGGAACTCAGCCACGTGGGGGAGGCCGGGGGCAGGAAGCTGGCCCTCCCTTTGGGCTCCCCTTGAGTGGTCAGGTAGGCCCAGGGTCACTGGACAAGTCTAGGGAGACCAGACAGGAGATGGAGGTTATGGATGACCACAAGGATGGAAGCTCCTTGCACTCACCTGGCAGTGCAGAATGCTTTCTCTACGAGGAAGTCACTTGGGCCTCACAGAACCAGAGACGATGTACGGGGTTATAGTGGTGTTCCCATTTTCTAGAAGTTCCACATTGCTTGGCCATTCTATCACACTCCAGACTTTACTCATAAGTGAAAATCTTTTGAGCACACTCAGCATAAGCCTGAGTTCCCCGTTTTCCTTCTCTGAGACCCTAATTTGTAATGAAAAGGAGACGACTTCATGGTTATTATGAGTGGAATCACACATCTTTTTGCCATGTGAGGATCTTGGCAGCTTGTCTGGTCCCTTAGAGTTCCGATGGTGCTCAGAGCTGGTGAGGGACTCTGGGCCCTGTGGCCCCTAAGTCTGACTGGGGAGCAGCAGAGGGTCAGAGGTCAGTTCTTATGGAGGGGTAGCCTTCCAGGGGCATCTGCATTCCACCCCCAGGGCCTGGAATTGCTCTGCTGAATCCCTGCTGTTGAGGATGGGGGTAGTAATGGTAGAACAGTGATGATGATAATAACCATTTGTTTAATACTAACTGTTTTGAGAATTTATTAGGTGTGGGCACAGTGGAGGGTGCATAGCATACGTTATCTCATCTAATCTTCAAGACCCTATGAAAAGGTTTTTTTTTTAAATGAATATCCAGAGTTCAGGAATTTGTTTAAACTCATTCAGATCACCCAGCCAACAAACGGCAGAGCAGGAACTCCTGCATGTGCCCGTGTGGTTAGTCACCATCTTTCTCCTCCCCTTCCTCCCTGGCTGCAGGAGACCAGGCACCTGGATGAGATGAAGTTGGCCATGCGGAAAGGCCATGACCTGCTGAAGAAGGAAGAGGAGAAGCTGCATCAGCTGGAGTCCTCTCTCCGGGAAGAGGTGCAGCCCAGCCTGGCCCCAGCTTCCCTCTTCTGTTCCTGGGATTCGGTGGGGGTTCTTGGGTCCCATGTCGGGGCAGCTTAGGCCCAGGATTGGCAGTAGGCTTGGGGCTTCTGAAAGTGGCTGTGGCTTCAGCTTTGACTGTCAAGCACATTTAGGGGTTTGGGTATCTGTGCCGAGACGTCCTGAGCATACTTGGATCTTTTTGCTGAAGGTTCTCAGGAGAGGACTGGCCCTGCCCTGGTGCCCGAGGAGAGGTGTGCCTTGAAGGCCAGGAATAGAGGCTCCTCGGTTTCACTCCCTTCTCTGGGCCTTGTAGGCTTTCCTCTGGATGCCTGAGACGGGGACGCAGCAGGAGCTGGAAAGACACCGTGGGGAGTGTTTACTGGGGTGAGGGTGGGGGCCTGCCTGACTCTGGTGAGCTTACTGCCTATATCTGCAGGGCAGCCTGTGTCTCTCCCAGAACTTGGGACCCAAGTCCTCAGCTGTCACGAGGGCAGAAAAACAGGGCAGGTGCCATCCTCATCTGCTGCGTATTCCCACCAGGCTTCAGATGAGGACACTTTGAGAGGACCCCCCCTGAAGAAGGTGGTAACCTTTGACCTCAGCGACCTGGAAGATGGGAGTAGTGACAGTTCCGACTCCTGTCCCCTGCCTCGCCGTGAGTTGGTGGGGGGAGGACTGGGATGTCCACGGGGACCAGAGATGCAGCCCCTCCCCACAGCCCTGCAAGAGAGGGCCCCCCCTGCCATGCCGGTCTGGAGCAAATGGTCAGCAACTGACCTGGCCGGAGTGAGCCGGCTGGGTGTGCAGGGCCCCGAGGCTCAGAGGCGGCCTTTTGAGTGCACAGGGGGCGTGCAGCGAGAGAAGCATCCTTCTTGGCCTTTCCCTCCCCTGCTGCTGCCTGGGAGTCTCTTCTCCCTCTGCCGCTCTGACCTGCACAGGGGCGGAGGGCCTCTTCCTGGAGACGCTCTGGAACACTGAAGCCGTGAGGCTTTTGTTGAGAGGAACAGGGAAGCGGGCAGGCCGTTCTCCACCCTCTGCCTCTTCCCTTTTCAGGCAACCTGACCCCGAGCCCCACCGTCCCCAACAAGATCCACTATCTGAGCAGCTCCCTGCAGAGTATCAGCAGCCAGCTCAATGGGGTGCTCGGCGTCCTGGGCAGCCTCAACACCCAGCCGCCACCGCTCTTCACCTCCATGCCCGTGCTGCCCCCCACCCAGGCCTCCAGGAGCGCCCCAGCTCCCTCCCACCCCTCCCAGGCCCGGGGCTCAGTCTCGTCCCTGGCTCAGTCCACGTCTGCCCCGTGGACCTGGGACCCGGGGCTGGGCCCCAGGCTCTCTTCCTCTGTGGCTCAGACTGTGGACGACTTCCTGGTGGAAAAGTGGCGCAAGTACTTTCCAAGTAAGCTTCCCTCTGGGCTGTGTGCAGTTCTGGCTCCGCCTCCCCACCTCCCTCCTCTGCCTGCCCCTCACTCCCAGCTTTGGCATGGCCCCCGGACACTGAGGGTCCCTGGGAGGACCTTGCTGCTTGCCCTGTGGCTGGAGGCCCTCTGGGTCAAGGACGGGTTACCTGATGGGGCCTTGATGATGGATTCTAGAGCTCAGCTGAACCTAAGGAGGTCATTTGTCAGAGCTGTGGTCGCTGCCATCTTGTGTGTTATATATTATGGGCCAGGCATTTTATGTATGGTTTTTCATTGAGTCCTTATAATAATCCTCTGAGGTTATTCCACACTATTTATCCCCATTTTACAGGTGAGGAAACAGACTCAGAGGTTAAGTAATATTCTACAGGGGACCCAGGGAGTGAGCAATTGACCCCATGTCTGTGACTTCGGGATTTGTAGCCCTTTGGCTGTATGTGGCTTCCTCTGGTCTCATGGCCCTGCTGAGGAATGTGAAAATCCATAAAAACAGTTATTGAAGGAAAAGGTTCTATGTTCCTGTTGTGACCCAAACGGAAAAGTAATTTCAGTTTTAGAAATAAGTAGGACAGTTACTGGGTACCATCGGTCTCTCACCTCCAACCTCAGAAGCTTTTCCGGTTTTTGGTTTAGGGCACTGCCTTTGCAGTTTCTGGGTGGGGGGAGGCGAGAGGGGGCTGGCTTGGCTAAACTGCTGCTCATTTCTGAATGCCTCCCTCACACTTTGCCAGCTGGCATCCCGTTCCTGAGCAGTGGCCCTGCCCCCTTGGAAAACAGGCTGGGCTATGTGTCTGCCAGGTAAGCCTCCCTGTGGGCTCAGGGTGGGGCCATGCCGTTCAGCTGCAGCTCCCAGGGAAGGTGGGACCTGGTAAAGGGACCAGAAGGCCCTGTCACGTCACCCAGACATTAGGCAGGTCCCCCAGGCCATGAAGCCACTGAGGTCCCCGTGGGGCCAGGCTGGCCTTACCTGAGCCAGCCCCATGAGGAAGCTACCCGGTGGCACCCTGGGGAGAAATAGGATCTGGCTGTGGAGTGAGGCCTTCGTCTCTGCCCTGAGCTCTTTGTCTGCTGCGCACGGCTCCCTTCTTCCCCCAGACCTGCTGAGCAACATCTGGAGGGAGGGGGCACTCCCTATAGGGGAGACAGATGGGCAATTATTGAAACCTGTTATTAATTTCCCCTTCATCTTATTCCTTGTCAAATGTACCCCCCTTGATGTGTCCCTGCAGGCCCCCAACCATAAGCACAGCCCTTCTTACCCTTTGGCCAGCTTGGGAGCTAATGCTGGGATGGTATTTGAGTTGACAGAGAGGAAAGTGTTTGCTGATGAGATTGGCTGGCCACAGGCTGACGTGGGAACCCTGAAGTCAGGCACATTCACCCAGGGTGGGGGCTCCACCCTCCTCCCTTTTGGAAATGGATGCTCCTCACCCCAGAGGGGCACTCTTGCCAGGCTCCTGCCTCCTTTCCCCTCCCTGCAGTGAGCAGCTCCGCCTCCTGCAGCGTCCCTATTCCCGAGTCCCCGAGGTGGGCATCTCCAACTTGCAGGACACGACCGCGGCTAACCAAAAGTGGCTAGAGCATTACAAGAACGACCCCAAGTTGTATCCTTTTAGCTGCCTCCCAAACCCTGATCCCTTCGCGCTCTGCCGTGCAGGTGGGCCCTAGGGGGGTGGGGGTGGGGGGTCCCAGGAGGGTCCCGTCTGGCCCGTGACTGCTCCCCAGCCATGCTCAGCTGACTGCAGAGTTCTCCTTCATCTCGTGGCCAGACCTCTCTTCTCCTCGGTGCCCAAGCCAGCGGCTGGTTCCAGCCTCCTGCAGCTGGACCTGGATGAGAGCAACAGACTGAAGATCTATCACTACTGAGGCGCTGAGCCGGGGGGGGCAGCCTGGCCTCTCTCGCACCCAGACCATGTGCCCTACTTGCTGCCTGCACTTTACTCCCTCTGATAAAGCATTCTCCCGGCCCCGCCTCTGTGCTGCTTGCCTCACTTGGAACTTAGAGGAACCACGGGGGACCAGGGGAAACGGATGGTGTGACTGGGAACAGTAAGCCACCCCTAGACTGTAACATCTCAGGCCACCCCGTGTGACTTCTGCATGAACCTGGCGACACTGACGTGGGGCAGCTGGGACAGGGGCGCCTTCAGGAGACAGAGGTGGTGCTGGCGGAGCTCCTGCTTCAGAGGCCAGGGGACTCCCTGGGAGTGGAGTCAGTCTCTTGGACCCGTGGGGCCCGCTTGGAGCTCCCAGGGTCACATGTGTGGTCCCTCACTCCCCAGAACAAAGCCCCCCCGGCATGTTTGTACTCTGGGACCAGGGCCCACCTCTCTAATACCTCAGCCCTGTAGAGATCAAGCTTTTTTTTTTTTTAAACTGTCCCCTTTCCTGAGCACTCTGTCTCACCTTTTGACTTCTCTCAGGATTGGGCCCAGAGCCCTGTGGGCGGTGGCTGGACACTGGCCCCAGAAGTCTTGCCACCGGTCTTCCTTCTGCTCGTCCTGGGCTTTCCTCAGGGGCACTTCCTTCCCCCTGCCCTGGGGCTCCTCCCCAGAGCACCCCAGCTACATTCTCAGGTCTCAAGCACCCAGCTTCCAGGAAGCCAGTGAGCCATAGGAAGAGACCAGGAGGGCTTACCTTGGTTTTGTCTTCCTGGATCACCTCGGGTATATATGTGTGTTGTTTCCATCTGTCTTTTCTGCCTGTGCCACCCCTGCCGCCCCTTCTCAGAGCCTGGGGACTTGTTCTGAAGGAGGTGAGGGGCTGGGCCTGTGCCTGCCGTCTGGCACAGCACCCTGCCACCCTTCCCATGTCAGCGGGCCCCTTGAGGGGACATGCTGGGGTGTTCAACATCTGCCCCATCGTTTAAATGCCCTCATTTTTCTTATCTTGAAAGCTGTGGGGGTTCCTCTCCAATGCCTAGAAACCACCTCTCCACCATCCCACCCCTTGTTTCTTTCTATAAGGAACTAAGATGCCATTGGCTTGTTTACCTGCAGGTCCTTTTTTGGCATCAGTCTGCCACATAGGATGTCCATTTTGTTCATTCTGTGTGCTTTGGGAATAGCTCATGTGCTGCAACCAACTTTGGTGACAATCCTGTGTTTTCTACATCAATTAAATCTCTGCAGGTCCATTTGCCACACAGTAGCTGCGTGAATGTGTCTTCTCCTTTTTGAAGGCCTTTGCTGCCTTCTGCTTAAGAATAGAGGGAAGGAAATGAATAGTCACAGAACAGCTAGGGCTCCCCTGGTGGCTCAGTGATAAAGAATCTGCCTGCCAGTGCAGGAGACACAGGTTGGATCCCTGGTCTAGGAAGATCCCATGTGCTGCGGAGCAGCTAAGCCTGTGAACCACAACTGCAACTACTGAGCCTGTGCTCTAGAGCCCATGCTCTGCAACAAGAGAAGTCACCGCAATGAGAAGCCCATGCGTTGCAAGTGGAGAAAGCCCACGTGCAGCAGCAAAGACACGCATAGAATATTTTTCAAAAAGAATACCTCAGTATCGAATCTAATCACAACAAACCTGTGATGTAGTTAGTTTCAGCTCCATTTCTGTGAGTGAGAAAATCAGGGCTCAGAGGACTTTTAAATGCCTGAAGCTCCCTACAAGCATGGAGCCTCACACCTCATGTGTGTGTCCTCAGAGCACCCTGTCCCGCTGGAGCAGTGCTGTTCTCCCTCATCAACCCCTAGCTCCACCTACCAGGTGGAGACTCACCATGCCATTTCCCAGGGGCTACTCGACCCTGTCTCTTCACGCAAACAGAGGTGAGCTCCATGAAGTTCTAAGCTGGCAAAGTCACTTGGCTTTTTTTCCTGCTCCAGTGGTGTGAATAGCCTGTGTGGTCTTAGATTTATAGCAACAAAATTGCCAGAAGAACCAGCTGAGAAGGTTGCATTTCATGGACTTGCAAAAGAAAACCAACCTAAAAGACAGACAAAGGTACCTAGACTTTTGAGTCTGAGATGCTCTGAGGATGGGAGGGAGGAAGGTACTGAGAGGAGCCTGCAGATGACTTGGTTCAGCCCACTCACAGTGGAGGAGGTGGCCCAGAGAGATTCTGGGAGAGGCCAAAGGTACAGTCGGTGCAGCAGAGGTGAGACCAGACCTGAACAGTCCTGACTGGGGCTTAAGGAAAGAGTATTTTTAAAAAGACACTTATTTTGAACAGGCTCTGCATTCACATGGCTTCATATTTAACTAGTACAAAAGTCAGTGCATCCATAGGCCATCTTGAAGTTAACAAATATACCACTTCTTTCTGGAGATTTTATGCAAATACAAAAAAAAAAAAAAAAGGAAACTGTTCTGACTCCCTTTTACAGGTGGGATAAGGGCCATTCCTACTGTGGGGATCAGACAGTTTCCCAGAGCTCTTCTGTGATATGTTTATTTCCTCTTTTTCTTAAGGGAGACGCATTGGGCATGATTATAGCCCCTCTACCATGGAAGCTTCCACACAGAATAGCTGTATGGAGAGTGGGGAAATAATCCTGGCCTTTGGACACCTGGTTTACTTTTTGCTCTGACATTTACAAGCTCTGTGACCTGAACAGGTCCTTTCTGGGCCTGTGTTTTTCCTGGTCAAGAGCTTGAAATCCGAATCCACAGTCCAGGGATGAAGCAGGGTGACTGTCTCAGATTTGGTGACTGAGAGGTCTGCCCTGGGTGGGGAGCTGCCTCATCCAGTGGCCTAACGCAGGGCTGGGGTAGGGAGGGGTGCTGGCAGCTGTTGTTGCCTGTCCCTCCAGCAGCTTCTTCGGGGAAGGCAGGGAAGTGATGGTTAAAAAAAAATGGAGCACCTGCCCCTCAGCAGTGCTGATGAGCTGGAACACCTCCTCATTCCTCCTTTGGACCCGCATTTCCAATCTTCCTCTCCTGCCTCCCGGATTGACTTTGCCACCTCCAGCAGGTACATACACAAAGGGCCCAGGGAAGGGCAGTGTAACGCCACTTTTCATTATGGAGGAGAGGTGCACCTGCTCTTGAGGGGTCCTGCTCAGGTTTAAATGCAGTGCAAGTGTGAATCAAAGGTTCCCACTTTATCCTCTCTGTGGCTTGATTCTCACATCTTTAAAATGGGGTTAATAGCAAAATCTAGCCAAACTGAACAACAACAAAACACTAAATAACCCAGTTGAAAAACGGGCAGAAGACCTAAATAGACATTTCTCCAAAGACAAACAGAGATGCTCATTATCACTAAGTATTAAGAGAAATGCAAACCAAATCTACAATGAGGTGCCACCTCACATCAGTCAGAATGGCCCTCACTAAAAAGTCTACAAACAACAAATGCTGGAGGGGGTATGGAGAAAAAGGAACACTCCTACACTGTTGGGAATGTAAACTGGTGCAGTCAGTATGGAAAATAGTACGGAGGTTCCTCAAAAAAACTAAAAATAGAGTTGCTGTATGATCCAGCAATCCCACTCCTGGGCATATATCCAGACGAAACTATAATTCAAAAAGATACACGTACCCATATGTTCATAGCAGCACTATTCACAATAGCCAAGACATGGAAACAACCTGAATATCCATCAACAGATGAATGGATAAAGAAGATATGGTACATACATACAATGTAATCCTACTCAGCCATAAAAACAGTGGAATAATGCCATTTGCAGCAACATGAATAGATCTAGAGATTATCATACTAAATGAAGTAAGACAAAGACAAATACCATATGATATCACTTATATGTGGAATCTAAAATATGACATAGATGAACTTATCTGAAACAGAAACAGACTCACAGATCTATAGAGAACAGATTTGTGGGATTGGGAGTTCGGGATTACAGATGCAAATGAGGATATATAGGATGGATAAATAGCAGGGTCCTACTATATAGCACAGGGAACTATATTCAATATTCTGTCTTAAACCATAACAGAAAAGAATTTGAGAAAGAAATATATAGCTCAGTCACTTTGCTGGATAGCAGAAATTAACATTGTAAATCAACTATTACAATTTAAAAATAAAAAACATTTAAAAATAGGAGTATCTAGCCCATAAAGTTGTTACAAGGATTAACGAAGTTAATCCATGTAAAGTTCTTAGAACAGTGTTCAACACATAGTAAGGGGAATGATGTCACCAAGATGGTGACATAGGGTATTCCTGACTTTCCCCCATTCACAATAGCAACTATCAACTATTCATGGATAAGACACCACTGAGAGAATCCTAGAACCTGGGAGCAAGGCTGAAGCACCCTCTGTACCACAGAGACCCAGACATACTGCCTTAGAGGGGGTAAGAGGAACAGCTGCACATGGACCACATTGCCCCTCCCCCAAGCTGGCACAGCCCCACACAGAGAGGTCTCCCCTGAGACTGTGCTTCTCCAGAGGGAAAGAGCCTGGGGGTGACATCCAGCACCCCCAGCATTGTGGGTCAGTTCACAGGAGCCCTTGCTGTGGTGTCACCCCACTGGGATCACAGGAGACTGCAAGGCTCAGCCACTGGGAATCTGATGGAGAAGGGGAGGGGCTTCCAGCACTGGGTCTTGGCAGACCAAATTTGTACCTGCAGAGCCCAATTATAGTCCCAATCTGTGGCTTTGCTCATCTGCAGAGCAAGTCAATGGTGCCGCATGGCCAGGGAACTTGGCAGAGTGCAGGTCTGCATGACTCAGGTCCTCAAACGAGGAGTTACACCAGCCCCAGAGCCTGGTCAGCTCACTTCAAGGTGGAAGAGTTGAGTTATACAGTCCTACCAGCTGTGGCATGCCTCTCAGCTTCTCCCAGCCAGAAAGCCTACTCAGGAAAAATCTGGGAATTGTCTGAAGTGGGCCTCCCAGTCCCACCCAGGCTGGAGAACAGACATAGCCTTACCTGCTGCCAATTTGGTTTTTGGCCCATTAAGAGGAAGGGCTGCTTGAGAACACCTGAAAAGTCCTGTGTAATCCAGCAATGCTTGAGCCCAGAGGCAGGTGGGCAGAGCTGATCACCCCTAGAGCAAGTGCAGTAGCCCTGGTCAGTCCAGGGAACTTGGGGCACAGGTTGGCTTGAGTCAAGACCACAAAGAGCCTTACTGGCCTTGGAGCTGTCCTCCCAAGAACAGCTGGGCAGAGAAACGAATTCATAGCTCCACTTATTGCTAAATGCAGCCCTTAGCCCACCTGACCAGGGAATCTTCTGAGAGAGAGGCTGCATATAGCCCATCCAACAGTCCTGCTTACAGTGTCACTTGGGCAGAGAGCACAGCCCATGGCTTTCCCTGTCTTTAGAGCAAAGCTGCTGGCCTTACCTGATGAGGATATCCAGTGCACAACTTTTGCCTGATTTGGGTTCCCAAACAAGGAGCCATGCAGGCCCTGGGTCCCATTCCTCTGTCCCATGAGGGCAAGGGAAACTAATCCATAGCCCCATCAACTGTTAAGTATAGTACCCAGCCCCACTGTGTGGGAAGCCTGACCAGAGAATTCAGGCAACCGCAGAGCCTATCCTACAGCCTGCTTTGGCTAGAGGACCATGCCAGCAGTCTTATCCAACAGTTCTTAGCCAGTGGCACCTCGCTTCCAAACTTCAGAGCTTAAACAACTGCTTCAAACAGGAATAGATCCTATTAGTAGGCCCCACCTGCCCAAGGACATTACCAACAGATATATCCAGAGCTAAACTGAGCTGACAGGTGAATTGTCTCTGCCAAAGCAAACCTGCAAAGACTGGGAAACCCTTACTCATGTGGGAAGATACCAACAAAAATAAGGATCATGAATAGTCAGATAAGTATAAGACCAAAGGAAACTAGTAAAGTTCTAAAAACTGACTTTAGAGAAATGGAGATCTATATTCTGTCAAAGAATTCAGAATAATGCTCTTAAAGGAGTTTAGTGAGCTACAAGAATATAAGATGACTAAATGGAATTAGGAAAACAATGCATGATCTCAACAAGTTCAGCAAAGAAATAGAAACCATCAAAAACAAAGGAATCCTAGAGCTGAAAAATATAATGGAAGAATTCAATATAGAGTTAAAAAAAAAAAAGGAAAGCAGACTCAGCATTCAGAAGAATCAGTAACCTGGAAGATAAGAAATTTGAAACTGTACAGTCAGAGAAGCAAAAAGAAAGGAAAAAGAAAGTGAAGAAAGCCTACGGAACTTATGGGACACATTAAAAAGAAAC